TATTTACGGAAATATCAGACACACTTAATTAAAAAGGAGTGTTTTTTTTCTTTATCTTCCTGAAGAAAAAGGACCATCTGCACATATTAGACTGAGTAGAGCAAATAGTTGTTAATGAGAACAGTACACTCTCTGCTCTATCAGGTAATTTACATAAATCTCAATCATTACAGCTGCACTAAGCTCTGTTTGAATGAGAGCAAACTGCTCCAAATTAAGATCCAGGTTAGCAGACTGTGATGTAAATATATTATTAACAAGAACTGGAAGTTATTAAGTCAAATGGGAGGTTAAAACCAAGTGTTAAATGATTATAACTGACAATTTGCTAAATACAAGTTGTTATTAAAGGCTTACCTTTGTTAAAATCCAGGTTGTCTGCACCATCAGTAAATATCAATAACTTGGTTTATAATTCAAGCAGATTTATGAATCATTAACCACAAGGAGGATATTTGTCTCAGTCTGATCAAATTGTTAACCTAAAGGAAGTTGTTCCAGCTCTCTTAGACTCTTTACACTACTGTATAAATAATCACAGACAACCACAATTAAAACAAAGGGGGTGCTTTGTTGAACCTAGTAATCCCTATCACGGTTTTATTATGTTTAACAAACTATAGAAACACTGAACGCTACTGGAATAAACACAGAATACATTAAAGAATCAGTAAGGGTTCAAATTAGACGTTGAGGTAAAGTCTTTGATAATGTTCAGCTCATTAGCTCAGCTGCTGTGATGCACTGAGGGGATGTCCATCAGATTAGCAGCAGAAATTATATATAGCACAGATCTGTGACAGTGGTCTTTGGTAACATTCAAAGCAATGAAGTTTCACTTAATACAATAATGAACAATTGCCAATAAATACAACGCATTTGATATGGCAGCATTGAGATGTTTAGGAAAGCGAGCGGTGATGTGGGGAATGCAATGCCCCTGTTACAAAAACAGCTAACCCACCGTTAGCAACAGCTAAGCAAGAAGCTACAAACAAGCTACTACTGTATAATCAGGCTAACTCTGGTGCATTAGCATCTAGGCTATGATGATAACCACAGGCCAGAAACAACAAGGTGTAGGACTGCACCATAACCGGATCATAAAAATATCTTTGGGCCATAAACCAAGCTGCTTTTCACAACATAGCCGACACACAGTTTCATTTGAGTGGCGGCGTATATCATGAACTGAACTCGGACTGGGAGAAATGCACACAAAAAGATGGCACAACACAACCTTACAAAGACAGGAATGACGGCTGCTACATCAAAGACAATTTGAATGTTTGTCATAAACCTCAGAAAATAGTTTAGGAACTCCTTTTTAATAAACCAATCAGCATCTAACGACAAATTATATTTCCCAGATACCTACTGTAATATGAAAATAAAAAGGTCCTTAACATGATGCTCTCAGGTTAGGTTCTGCAGCAGCTCACAGGCAGCGACTCAGCTGTCCGTAGGATGGAACCACTCACAGTGTTGAAAGGCACACTGGACACAAGGCCTCAGGTCAGGACAGGAACCGGGTGCTATCTTGGTCTATGGACAGGCAGAGATTTAAAAAAAAACCCTCATCCATTGTATGAACAGACAGTACCAGTAAGGCTGTGTTAGGTTTTCAGCTCTGAGCTTCTTCAAAGAGGGATACAGTCCTAATTGCTAGCAAAAATGGACCACAGTTCCAGAGGTTGAACCACATTTAATCATGATGTCCAGCTGGAGTTTTGCATCTCTCGTAGCATTAGACTGAGTTTCAAAAAAGTTTCCTGATGGTTTTAAAGATGCTGTGGCCTGAGGATGTGATATCAGAGGGACGGACTTTGTCAAAATACATCAGTGACACTGATATGGGAGTTATAGTTCTGAACAGTAACAAGACATTTATCACCTTTAAACAAGGTTTATGAATCTGAATCTGAGTTATCCAGCTGGCAAGCAAAGCCCACTGCCTCTGTTTAATGATCATTATGATTGTAGAGGGGTGGATGGACAATAATTAAAGCAGCAGACTTTGCTCTCATACTGTGATATGAGAATGAGTTTCCTGAGGTGTTGACCTCTTTTTTAATATAAAATCTGTGTTGCTTTGATTATTTCCTTGGGGGCCATGCCTCATTCTATCCTCCCACCCGAGCTAAAAATAGCAGCTGCAGGAAGGGTTACGCTACAGCTAAGTTGGGTAGGATCAATATGCTTTCTTCTCAGGACTCGCATCATGTTTACATTATGATTCAGCTTCCCTTTCACTCATTGTTTAACATAATTCCTGTTATCGTTTTCCTTTCCTTATTTGGTGCAAGATGCGCAGCTGTAAGTGGCACAAAATCAGAGCTCACCGTTTCCCTCACCGACATATAGGCTTAAATACATTTGACCTTAATTCCTTGGTAGTTGTTTTAAGCTGAGACTACCACATTAGTAACAGCCACACAAAACTGATCACATTTAATCTTCACACAGACAAATTTTTGCGTTATGATTTAAAAATCAGGACAACAGTCGAATTTGTTACTTTATAAAATAACAGTGATGTGTTAAGCCATTTTTACATTTGCACACACTGACACAGCTGTGTTTTCATGAAATATGGGGACATTTCATCGACATGCAATCTTTTTATATGGCCTAGCCATGACTCTTACCCAAACCCTAACTATTTCCGACATATCCCTAACCGTAACCCTTACACTTACCTAACCCTCACCACTCAGAGGACAGAACTTTACCATATGGGGAAGAGTTGAATGCCCCCATATGTACCTCTAAGGTACATATACCTGTAAGGTACATATGCGTTTATTTTAGGACAATATACTAAGTTGAAGCATTAACATGTACATAACCTAATTTTACGTAGATATACTTGCAGCTCCCCCAATAGGCTGCCTGTTCGCCTTGCAGCTATATGCACCCAAACGGTGTTCCCTGTGTCTATCAGGTTTAAAGCCATGTGAAGCACAAGACTTTAAAATGTGATAGCATACTGAGTCACTGCATGGATGGACAATTCAAACTGCAGACTGGGCTCTAATGCTGTGATATGAGAATGAGTTTCCTGTGGTGTTGGCCTCTTTTTTTTTTTTTATCAAATCTGCGTTGCTTTGATTATTTCAGGAATAAATATTACATTTGGCCTTGGACAGATTGTTAACATGATTCTTCATGCTATTAGTCAGTTGGCTGCTTGAGATTGTTCAATCTGTGGAAGTGCCCAGCAGAGGGCAGCATTGGTCTGATTAAGGTTTTATTAAGACCTCTGCTTTTACAAGAGGACTTGGCTTTAAACAGCATTTACTAGAGGATAATCCTTTGTGATCGTTTTATAGAGCTTATGCACACAATATAGTAATCACACCACCTTTTTTCGGTAAAACCACAAACAGAAATTGGTTTTCTTTATTTTATGCTATAGACTCATTATGCTTTGATCTACATGTTCAGATTTATGATTTTGTTGGAAAGTGAACCTCCTCCTAAAACTCATGTCTTTTATAGCTTCTGACAGCTTGCCTTCCCGGACTGAAATCAGTTGAAATCCCTCCATCTTCTCCTCAACTCCACCTGCAAAAAGAGACAAACCCCAGAACATATTGCTGTCAACATAATGTTTGCCTGTTTGGATGGCGTGTTCAGAGTGATGTGGCATTATTTATGGGCTGTGGAGCTCTGGAGCGCATTGTTAAAATGGATCCAGTCCAGCTTTGACCTCCACCTGTCTGTTTTCTTCCTTAGTCCCCAATGGTGCCTTTTATTCCACCAGTTTTTCTTTTTTTTTACTTTGCTGCATCAGAAGAAAGGGCGTTGAAATGAAAGACTATTCCTGTTTCTGCTTCTACAACTATGTATATTACTCCTCTTTGTTTATCATATCAAAGTTCACTATAAATATTGAGGTTATTAGTTTTAATCTTTTTAAATATTATATGTTTTTCTGGTATGATTACTTTTATTATATTAATCCTACTGTCGCTTCAGTCTTCATGTGTATGTAAAAGGGTAAAAAAAACAAAGTAATGTCAGGTGTACTTTAAGGTGGATCTCATTTTAAAGTCTGAAACGGGCTTTAGTGCACTTATTTAAACCCACAGACTGCAGAGTTATGTTAAGACCCTGATGACTCCCTGGAGGACATAAAGCGACTTGAGTGAGACACATCTGACTAAAATGAGAATTAAGAAACTCTTCTTAAATCTAAAATAGCAGTTTGAGATATTTACTCCAAGATGGATAAAACAGCTCCAGAAAGACAGTTTGTAGTGTCTTTAAATGTTTTCAGGCAAAAGTCACTCTATTTGTGCATCTCTGGTTTTATTACTCTACACAGGTTTGTGTCAACAGCTCCCTCTAGAGGACCTTGAGAAAATTTATATGCTGCAGTTTACAATCCAATACACTGAAGGACCATAAACCCATTTTAACCCTTAAAGTGTCACCTGCTGCACTGCCTATGATTGGCTAAGGGAGCAGCCTGTCTCAGACGAAGGCATGACGCTCTGCTGCAAGGAGGGATAAGCCATGTGGATCAGATGACTAAGCAGGAAATTTAGAGGACAAACCCCCCCTTCATGTGTGCTTAAGGTTCTGGAGATGAAATGAGGGGCTTATTGGTTTGAGGTTCCTGTTAAATGAATACTCTGTATGGATTTATGTGATTTGTTGGGTCATATTTTCCTGAGGTTAAGGTCATTCCCATCCATCCCAGTGCAGCAGAACAGCCTTGGTCATAAGCAGCCATTTTGCTGGTCGTCAGAGTCAGCCTCCTCCCTGCTTCTCCTCTCCTCATCAATAACACAGTGATGTCAGCAGCCTTCCCATATTCCTGGACTGCTTTTGCATCCCTTGCACCCCTTCACCCCTCTTCCACTCAGTCCTCCCCCTCCTCCTGATGCTCCTCAAAGCCCCACCCTCTCCCACCACCCACCTGACCCTCTGCAGACCAATTAGATGCAGCATCAGCTGAATGCACGAACGCTCTGTGACTACCAAACACAAGCTGCAGTCTCACTCTCCTCCTCGTCTGTCTCCTTTCCTGCTCTTTTCCCCACCTCTCTCTCTCTCTCTCTCTGCATCTCACCCTCCTGCTCCTCCACACTCCTTCTGTTTTCATTCAGGCTGTTTACCCGTGTCCTCTTCTATTGCCCAGTCCTTTCCTTCTCTTTGCCTCCCTCGTTGCTGCTGCTGCTGCTCTGCCAGCCTCACCCTATATCCCTCCCATCCATCAAATCCTCCTCCTCCTTCTCCTTTTGGAGACCTTAAAAGCTGCTCAGCAAACATAGCATAACACACTCCTCTCCTGCGAGGGTAAAACATGTCAACCGTCCTGGACCTGGAGCAGATTTCACATGCTGGGAATGATTTGGTGAGTTATAATGTGTCTGGCTTGATGCCTCCAGTCTGATGTCAGAGGAAAGCAGATCAGAAGCATTTTTGTTCACTTTTCTAGAAGACAAACTGTCAGTATCTCATTGGGTTTGTTCTGGATAACTGCTGCTTGAATCAGGGTAGCGATTTTAACGTGTGCATGCTCCCACAGGTCACACTGTGCCCATATGTGTAGCCTGCACTGAACAAAGTTTCTCAGGGTGTGGCAGGCAATGCATTCTATTGTGATGATATGATGGATGCCTGAAGTGTCTGTTTAAAAGCCGTGTTTCATGATACGTGTGCGTCCCTATGGATGAACATGTTTTTTGACCAGTAAACGTGCGACGCACTCCTATGTTGTGTTCCTCTGTCATCCTTCACTGTAGAAAGCCGAAGAAAGGGGGGTCGGACAATCACCCCCAACACGCGCTGTGACAACCGCACATGAGAAATCTCTGCTGCTTCCCCTTCCCTGCAGAGTCCTTGAGTTTGTAGTTCCAGCCCGCTGCTTCAGTGTGACACATGCGTGTAGCATGGGGGCTGCTAGAGGGGAGGGCCACTGTGTCGCTGGGGAATGGCACAGAACACATGGATGTTATGTGTCCGCATGTAGCTGTTTAGTGGTTTGTACCTGAGATCAAGGTCTTTTAAATTTTTTTTTTTAAAGCTGGATGAGGACAATGAACTGCAGGCATTAATGATTGAAGCATTGCAGGAAGGGGATGAGCATATCATCCCCGACGCCTCTGTCACAATATTGCTGTAAAAGCAAAGAATAATATCTAACCTCCTGGTATCCCCAATGTGCAGATACTTTTGTTTTCCTAATGAACCCTAACCCTGACACTCCTTTTAACCCCACTAAAGCCCAAAGCATGCAGCAGTAGAAACCATCAGCTCTGAATTTCCAGCTGAGTCCAACTATTTGTAATACATGCAACATCCATACGGACGTTATGCTTTATATTCCATGTGCTATAACTCTGCTTGCCAACAACGTTGACCAGATGGGACATCTGGTCAAATACAAATTTATGAGTTTTTTTAATGATGAGAAAAGGAACAATAAGAATCATCTACAAACTCAAAAAAAACAATGGTGCATCTGTACTACTGTTCTATAGAGTGGTTCACACGGATTGCATAAAAATACAGAAGGTAGGGAAAAACAGTTTGAACAGTAAAAGGCAAATTTTAGAATCAGTTCGCGTCTTTGGCCTGTTAGATGTACTCCCACAGAGACGGTTGTGATATTGACAAAATACAGAAATGGGAGTTAAATATCCCGAGGAGAATGATTTTTTTGACAAAAAGTCAAATTGTGCCATGTTCCCTTGATCAGTAAGTCAGATACTGCACAATCAGTATTTGCATATATGCTCTGATGCATAAATCAGGATATTGATGTTATTTTTCTATTTTGCTAAAAACAGCTTCACTTGAATTGGCAACACATGAGATGTTTTTGTCTTTTATTGTAGCTTTAAAAGGAAAAAAGTCTGACTCAACCAAAATGAGAATCGGCAGGTCAGACCTGCATTCAAAGCACTGAAATTGAAAATTGATCGGAGCTGCACGGATTGGTGCATCTCTAAAGATACTGTTATTGCACCTCCATCAGGGTCTGCTACTTTCCTCTTATGCTCCTATGTACATTTTAAACAGCAGATCCAAATAACTACAGCAGGATACTGTTAGCTCAAAACATTGGCCATTTAAAAGCTGATCTCCACTTCAACTGTATCAAAACATTCATGTTTATGTGATTAAATGCCTAGCGAGCGATTAACGGCATGAATTATTACAACCTTTAAGCAGAACAATCCTCCTCACCTTCTACATTAGTGTTGGGATACTGCTGGAAAAGGCACGAGGAATTAAAGTGACGCAGTCCTTCCGTTCTCTCACTTAGTCTCTTGTTTTTTTCCTCTCTCTCTGCCACTGCTTTCTCGCTCTGTTTCCTCCCATCTACTTCCCGACCCTCTCTTGATCTGTCCATCCCTTCTTCACAGTGGTTCCTCCCACAGACCTTTTTATTTCATATCGACTGCTGGGGGGGCCCATCTGCCTCCTTTGTACAAAGAAAACAAACACACACATATCAAAATGCAGTCGTTTGAGGAAAGAATATTTGTGGACTTGTCCTTGACTCGGTCCTTGTCCAGAAATAACAGATCTGCAGTGACATGGCTGTGGATACACTTCTTCCATCTGTGCAAAGGCTTCCCATGAGGGCCGGAGTCCTCCATCCGGGTTTAACTGAACTCATATGTATGTTCAGATTGGTTCCTTTGCAACACATTGCTGGTCCCACTTTGCACCTCTGATGTTTCACTCTTACTCAGATGTAAAGAATCTGTCTCAAGACTTTGGGTGCAAATAAACCGGGGATCAAGCTCTAATTTCTTCTTCTTTTTTTAATTAAATGCAGATTTATCTGTCAATTACCTGGATGTATTTTCTTATTTTGTTTGCCTTAGAAAAAATATGAATAGGTTAAAATTTAGAATCAGCAAGTTACAGAAACTGGATCAGTGCATCTCTTAAGAAGACATGTCCTCCTGCCCTCTTGTATTGCTCAGTCACACACAGTGGATCTAAGTGATCTAAGTGATTGCCTCCAGGATTGGCCTCCATCTAATATGAAGTGTTTACACATTTGCTTTACATATTTGCCAAATTCTGCTGGTAGTCCAGGAGAAGGTGGATTCATGCTGGCTTTGGATCTGTTGAGCTTAATGTAGGTTTGTCTTTCTTCCTGACTTGTTTCTCTTCATTATTGATGACCAGCGGGCCCTGCCACTAGCATGGCTGATGGGCCCCACCCGCCGCTCTCTGCAGCTCCACATTATCACGGATGAAGGGAGCTGCATCCTTTTTCATTATCTTAAACATACATGGGGGTTCCTCGCTGATGATAAAGGAATAAGAGAGAAAAATGCTGTGGCTGCTTTTTAAAATTGATTGCTTTATTTTCTGCAAACCTGTAGGGCTACACCTCATGACGCTGACATTTTTGCTAAATCATGCAAGTGAAAGCAGTTTGAGTCCTGAACAGTAAGGCTGTTTTTGTGCCAAATGAAAAGGGTTTTGTCCTTTTCACAGCTTTGTTTCTTTAAGGGCCTAAACTCAAGAGGTGCATGCTTCGAATAGCTAATTTAGGAACTTGGCTTTGCAGAATGAATTGTTCATTTACCTTTAAGAGGTTAAGGGAAGTCACCAAATGGGCTACAGAGATCACCTTTATTTAAAGATAAAAAGCAATGTCTAAATGATGATGCAATAAATTGTATTTTTAGCTAATCAACAAAAAACAGGCTCTGACATGAGTTTCTGAATTTTCTAAAAATTTTATTTGTGCTACTATCTGTTTAAGGTGGACTTATTTATAACGTTAGGGTTATTAGAATAAATGTGTCAAACTGAATTTATGTCAGCTGATTCCTCTCCTATATTAGACTTCACAGCTAACATAGTAGAGAAATATGATATATAATAAAGGTACAGATGAAAGTAGACATTACAGACTATTAAAACCTGGTCACCTTATTAATTGCTTATACAAATTGGTCTTTTTAATTGCTTTTTATGTAGTTAAGTGGTGGGCTTCTCAGTGTTTAGTTTTTATTTCTGAGGCAAAGCAAGTTTTGAAATACTTTTAAAAAGTATGAAAGTGTTTAAATAAGATTTCCCAAATTTGAGGAGTGCAGAATATTACGGAGGATCAGTTACAGCTTTTCCCCAGAACAGTGAAAATAAATCAGAATGATGAGGTTTGGATAAAAATGACTCTTTTTCAAACTCTAAAAGGACAAATTCTGCATGTTTTCACCTCTTAAAGTATTGATCCTTTAATCTTAAACCCATTGTCTCCTCCCTCTCATTGCAGGAGCATGACATTGAGACTCCACACGGGGTTCTCCATGTGACGATGAGAGGTGTTCCCAAGGGCAACAGACCTGTCATCCTCACCTATCACGACATCGGACTCAACCGTGAGTCAGCCAGAAATATTCTCACCAATCTCCAGAGATTATTTTTTGTTCTTTACTTATCCGTCTCACCTTTCTCTCTCTCTTTTTTTTTTTTAGACAAGTCCTGCTTCAACACGCTGTTCAACTATGAGGACATGCAGGAGATCACCCAGCACTTTGCTGTGGTCCATGTGGATGCCCCCGGGCAGCAGGAAGGTGCACCTCCCTTTCCCAGTGGGTGAGTGGAACACTCGTAGGACTAGTGCAGATGAAGGTGGACACATTGGTTGTTGAGGTGGAGCTTAAACAGCAGCGTCGTTTACTAATGGTGACAGAAACAATGAAGAACTTATCTTCCTTAAATGTGTAAATCTACAATGAAGTCAATTTCTCTGATTAAATTAAAGGATATAGACAGCCTTCAGAAACTACTTAGATCCTTTACATACTGCCACCTTACAATCCCAGTCTGAACTGTATCTTATTCAGGTTATTTTATGAGACACCAACACAAAATGGTGCAAACCCTGGAAATGAGAAAAAAAAAACATATTAAAACCAGTTGTAATTTAAAAATAAAAACAAAATATATTATTGATTTCTTTGCCCTGCTACCTCTAAATATAACCCTGCTGTTCATAGGATGTTAATGTTTGCATTTCAACTGAATCTATTTAAATTACATTGAGGTTTTTGGCTGTGATATGACATGGGGTGAAAAGGATCACAGCGTTTGATCATGTGTCATGTCTCTGCAGATATCACTACCCTACCATGGACGAGCTGGCTGAAATGCTGCCCTCTGTGATGACTCAGCTGAAGTGAGTGTCTTTCCTCTCTTACTGATCAATGGTATCATCCAAATTTTGGATGTATTTCCCCCCTAACTCGCAGTAACTTTGTGTTTCTTTAGGGTCAACAGTGTGATCGGCATTGGTGTTGGAGCAGGAGCTTATGTTCTCACCCGCTTTGCAGTGAGTCCTCAGCATTTCTACCTTTTCTTCGTCTTCTCTCATAACATCCTAAAGGGCAGATTAGACTTCTGCAACCACACACATCAAATGTCGCTTGGGTCTGGTTGCGAACCAGTTTTGCTGGTATGCTTCTGCACCGTCGGTCTGGAATTTCTAGGGATGCACAGCAGTTTCCTGCCAAAGCGCAAAGGGGAGCCTATTTGAGAACTTTTTAATATTTTTAAAAATGGCACGCCCCGGCACCGAATCGAGAAAGATGACCACACAGACAGATGGAAAGGCATACCAAGGACCAATCACAGCTGCTTTTAGTCTGCTCACTTCCGCTTGAGGTCTGCGCGGGTTTGCGACTGTGTGCGCATAGACAGATTTGACAGTTGCAGAGGCTAAGCGTCAGAAGCATAAATTGGCCTTTACTCACCTGACGTTTTTCATACCATCCAGCTTGTTCCATCAAAACAGAAAAGCCTCTTATCAAACTTACACAGGAAACCAATTCATGTTCTGGTCCCGTTAATCCAGTAATCAATCACCTTTTAGGTTTTTACCCTGGTTTCTGTGCTGGTTTAAGTCAGACTAAAATAAGCGCAATCTAGGAGAAAGCAGTGGAAGATTAAGGAAGCACTGACTGATTAATAATGAAACGGGAGGATGAGGTGCAGAGATGAAAAATAGCAACAGTCGCTTTGAGGACAGTCTGCTGCTGTTTAAAAAATCAAGTGGAAAAATTGATTCTAAAACATGTTTGCTTTTACAGGCTGGAAGGAAAATCTGTACCTGAGATGGACAGAGTGGCTCGTGCTGCATTTATATTAGAATGAATGCAGCATCCACTCCTTATCAGAGGAGATAGATCCTGTATTTCCCCAGACAGTCCCTCTCCAGCTTCAGGCAATTTTAAAGCCACTCCCCTTCATTTAGAGTCCCAGTTCTGTCTGCTCTTGATTTAAACTGACAGATGTGCTGCTCTTCTTTAGAGGTTTTATCACCGTCTTCATTTTGTAACCATGTCTTTAATTCAAAGATATTATTAGATTTACACATTTTTGCTTTTGAACTAATATAAAAAGATGTATTTGTCCATACTATATCTTTCATTCCTTTAAGTGTCTGAAATCCAGCATTATTTTTGGAGGAGATAGCTGAGAGAGCAGCCAAAACAGCCCAGATAAATGACGCTTCATGCCAATGCAGAACCACGGTATTACTGCATAAAGTAATTACTAGCCTGGATTAAATAAGTGATATAATGTCCCAGTTTGAACCAGAGTTTATGAAAAAATGATTTATATAGTGATTTGTTGAATGAGGAGGGAAAAAAATGACTTTGCTCTTAACAACTATCAGCAGAATAATTTGCTGTTTTTCAGCCTGGCTGTTGCCATACTCCATCATTTAAATTTCTCATATTCTCGCCTTTAAAAAGAACTCAAAACTATAATAAAACAAAGAAAAAAAGATGGGAAGGGAGTTAAATCACTGAGATCAGATCATATTCTAGTTGCAGTCAAAGTTTCTCATTTATGACACCAAGAAAAATGTCTAACAATATCTAAATGGCCTTATTATTTATTGGTTAATGTTGTCCACAGACAACAGGCAGATGAAAACAAGAAGCACACTTTTTCATATTTCAGAAACCCAAAGGCCTCAAAGATCATCAGGCTGTGACCTCAGTGGGCTGACTCAGCTCTAGAACAGTCTGTCCGTTCTCTACTTTGTTTCCTGTTATCTTTCCTTCCTTTGAAATTAACATTTTTAAACCGTTTCAAATTATGTGGCAAAAAGTGTTTCTCACAGGAAAAAAAAAGTTTAGTTGCTTCCATTCAGACACATTAGTATTTTCTTCTTCTTTTTTTTCATTCAAAAGCCTCAAAGCCTCTTTTCACATCAACAAACTTTTCTTGTTTATCATATTTCTTCTCTGTTTGAAAAAAAAAAAAACTATAGAAAGGGGGATAGTAATTTATGTTTAATAATTCAATTTAAATATCCTGTTGATCCTGTACTTTCCAGCTGAACCATCCCAGCCTGGTCGAAGGACTGGTTCTGATCAACGTCGACCCATGTGCTGAAGGCTGGATCGATTGGGCTGCTTCCAAGGTCAGTATTCCACCTCAGCTCACAACCTGGAAATAATTTAACAATAAATTATGGCCAAGAAGTCTTCTGTGTGTGAGAAATGCAGTTAATTACTGACCATAGGTGAGCACGATCTAATGCTTCCAGATTAAAAATTACAGTCACAGCAGGATTTCTATGAAGGGTTTGGTCCTTTGCTGAGGGATTAAACAGGCAGCAATCAGCCTGTTTCTGCCTCTACTTCAGGCAGTGACTGATCATTTTCTAATCATTAGGTTAGGTCCACATTTTCTGACTTTCAAATCAAGGCAAGGATTTTACCATCAACAAAAATGGATACAGTTAAAGCTGTGGGAATTTTGATTTGCATCGACAGTGCAGACTCAGTATTTCCATTAACATAGCAATCTAAAATGGCATACAGTGACTTTTATCATATGAAGCTGATTCAATCTGTCTGAACAGGTTTTTCTGACAAGTTAAACATGTCTTTTCCTTTTTGAGGTCAATAATAATGAAAGGGATGATGAATATTTCTTGCAATGACCTGTCTCTGCTGGCTGTGTGTAGCTTTCTGGATGGACCAGTAACTTGGTGGACATCGTCATGGCTCACCACTTCAGTACTGTGAGTACTCACTTTTCCTTGATGCTGCCCAGGGCAGAGCCTGGAGCTTTGCTTTCTCTAGATATCAGAAGTTTACCTAAACCTATGTAACGGACATTTGCTAATAACATATTTAATATGTAGCGAGGTAGATTAGCTACATTAGCAAACACTAATCTAACGGTGCTATAAATTACTCCACTATACAAACATATGCAGCTGCTTGAGTCAATCAATAATGCAAATCTATTCAACTCCTTTCATCTTTGTTTAATATGACTCCCTGGCCTTTGCACTACATAAAACTACTTTTGTTTTTCTCATATTATCAGGTTGTTATCACAGAAATATGAAACTTCAGTTAATGTTCATCATAACTATGAAGCTACAGAAAAACGACACAACATTTTATGTTTTAAAAAGTTAAGCTGCAGAGACCCACTAATGATGAGGGAGAATCTGTTGAGAGCTATTTATGCTTTGCATGGAGAGGCTTATGAAGACTTCCTGGGGGTTCAGCACTTTGTTGGGAAGTGTGAAATCTCCTTTCCTGCCTGAAATGTTTCCTGTTCTCAGATGCTTAAGGAAAAATAGCTACCTATCCTGTCTTTGTTGAGAATGTAAAGGCCTATAATCAAGCAAACTCCAAATGTAGTCTTAATGAAAGAGCGGGAGTCCTTTTTACAGAAAACCGTTGGATCAGAAGAAAAGGTGCATTTTTGATCTGTATGTAAATGGAAGGTTTGGCCACAACCAAACAACAGCACTGCCCACAATCCTGAACAGGTAGTGGCAGCCACATGCTGAGGGTGGTGAATTTTAAGCAGTATTTTTACCATTACTTATAGTGAAAATAAGCTTGTATTGATGTATTTAGCTTTTTTTTTTATATGAAGTAATTTATCCTTCAGGATGAGCTGACAGAAAACCAGGAGCTGATCCAGACCTACCGCCTCCACATCGCCCAGGACATCAACCAGGACAACCTGGCCCTGTTCTGCAGCTCCTACCAGTAGTAGGTTCAGGGACATGAATATTACCTGGTTTTAGTCTTCCTCTCTCTTTATTCGTCCGTTTTTTCTATTTTTTTAATTTTTATTTTAGCTAAGTGTTCTCAGTAAAGACGAAAGGATTAGAGTTTTTAAACTTTTATTCTAGATCCATCTAATTTGATCATCTCTTGTTACCTTTTCTCCAGCCGCCGTGACCTTGAGATCGAGAGACCCATCGTGGGGTTAAATGAGGATACGGTGAACACACTAACGTAGGTGTTGAGACTAAGATGGTACTGCTCTGTTTCACATCTTCAGAGCACAGCCTGACCTTGGAGATTCTGTTTTTTTTTCCATTATCCTACCAGGTGCCCTGCCTTGCTGGTGGTTGGGGACACATCTCCTGCTGTCGACGCCGTGGTAGGTTATAGTTCACCAGTGATGAAAAGGTGTTCTTGAAGGAAGAAAGATTTATTAATGGTTTCTCTGACATCTGTCCATGTTTCAGGTGGAGTGCAATTCCAGGTTAAACCCCACCAAGACCACACTGCTAAAGGTGAGGGGCGCTGTTATATAAAATCAAAAAAATATATCCTTTAAAGGTGATATGTTGTATTAATAAGAGGGCTAATTCTCCTTTAGATGGCTGATTGTGGAGGTTTGCCACAAGTCGTTCAGGTAGGCTTTTAATTTCTATTTTTTAGAAGCACAACATCCATGTTTTTAACACCTTAAGTATCTTCTCATTACATTTTTTGTTTTTGCTTCCTCTCTGCAGCCAGGGAAGCTTGCTGAGGCATTCAAATACTTTGTTCAGGGGATGGGATATAGTAAGTAAACATCTGTCGTGTTTTTATGTGTCAAAGGTCCTCAAACGTCTGCATATGTATATATGTATATATAGTAACACCAGTTTCAGCTAGTTGACTTCGTGGTCACGCTGCAAGCCGCTTCAGAATGACGTTCTTGTGGTTCAGGTTTGCCTGTGTTTACCTCCTGAGTTTCCTGTTGACGTGAGTGCAATTACAAAACACCCTTAAACCGAAGGTTGTTTTCGCTGGGGCTTGTTGCTTAACAACCCAGCTGAAATGGGGGGTGCGGGGGGGTCTGGAGGAGCATGAATAGAGGTGCTTTTTGTCAGCCCCGTCACGGAGGAGCAGCCTTTGGGGCCCTATTCATGCTAATTTTTTCCCTCTGTGCTCTTTGCAGCGTGTGGCGCTCACTACTGCCAGTAGGTGAGGACTGTCTGAAATCACACTCAGTTTGCTGAACAGCAATTAACTTCCTGTTCAGCTCAGAGTGGGTGTTGAAAATGACCCTTTTGGTGTGCTTTTCCTTTCTATGCACAACTGTTTACTGATGCACCAATGGGGCAGCATCACGGTGCATCAATAAACATGTCTCCAAGTGCTGCTGTCAGAGAAAAGTGTTTAAACAATATGAATAAACAGTTACTTCAGGTTTGTTTTCCTTTTTCACACCAACTGTTTTGCAGAGTCGTTTATAACAACTGACATTTACCCATTTTGCCACACTGCTACCACAAGCCTCAGTGTACATTGACTTAAAATATAAACGCAACACTTTGGTTGCTATAAAAGATTTGAACAGATTTATAAGCAATATTTTGAATACTATGAAGATTTTGTGTGAAATAGCAGCACATCTGAATAGTGCATTTAAAACTGCTAAGAAAGTGATGTTTTAAGATGTTTTTTTAAACAAACAAGGTGAAAAAATCAGAAATGTATTGATATTAAATCCCTTATAATCTGCACTATGTGAAGCACCTTTTACTCTGCAAGTTTCACACACCTACAGCTGACAGTTTCTCCCTTTAGTCTGCACTACCTTCAGACTGGATGGAAAATGTCTTTAAACATCAGTTTCCAAGACTTGCTTTATATCCTCAGTTTGAAGTAGGGTTAAAACTAGATGCCATGTAAATATTTTATGGTTGGTACCACTTTTAATACCACAACAGCTTTAATTTTTTAAAGGTAAACGGTTGTTTTTAGTGTTGAGCAAATTTAATTTCTTAATTTTCTACCTTTGTGGTAATTTAGGATTATAGTTCCTGCTATAGCAGCAGGGAGGTAGCTACAGGTTCTGCTATAGTTGTCAGTTTTTGTCCAGCTTGTATCCATCAAGCTAATATTTGATCAGCTAGCTTTAGCTATCGTCATCCAGGAGGTTTACTGTCTCACTGTTGCAGATGCAGGTGCTTTGCTTGACTTTAAGTCATATTTAAACACCATTGTTGTAGCATTAGCTTGAAGCCATACTGCAGCAGCATCAGGTCTTCTTTGTCATTTTGTTCTTTTTTTCTCATTCTAATTTACTCCACAGTAAAGCTGTCATGTTTTCCATGTTGGCTTAAGTTAAGTGAGTTTAATGTGTTTTAGTTTTTTAGGGGAGGTACTCTCCATAACTGCAGAGTTTAAACCTTCAGACTGCAGCTCATCAAGTGTTTATACCCAAGGGAGTAGCTGAGCACTGCTGCTGGAAGGAGTGCAACATTTTGAGCGGATGAGAATGGCTGTTTGGTGTAGCTTGGAATCATTTAGATTTATTATTATGATTTTTTTCTTAGTATCAGCTTTATCTAAATCTTGATTAATATGGGAACAGCAACCTTCTGACAAATACAGCTTCCCATCAACTCTGACCAGCTGCTGAATAAGGCTTCTCCAGAGCATCTTTCTGCTGCCTTTCTCTTTGGTGGATGCTGTTCTTTGTGGGGGTTCATTTTCTGCCATGTTTAATGTTTTGCAAAAGCCCCTCTAGCTAAAAGGGGATCAGATCATCACCTTCCACTTGGCCTGTAGCAAACTGCTTAGCATTTTCCACTATTTTTCTGTAATATACCTCTGCTACCTTCAGTGAACTAAGATCCATCGATCCATCCATTTTTTTCCGCTTTATCCGCGGCTGGGTAGCGGAGGCAGCAGTCTAAGCAGAGATGCCCAGACTTCCCGATCCACAGACATTTCCTCCAGCTGCCCTGGGGGGGACCCCCGAGGCGAAACCAGGCCAGCTCGAAGACATAGTCCCTCCGGCGTGTCCTGGGCCTTCCACGAGGCCTGCTCCCAATAGGACTGCCTGGAACACCTCCCGAGGGAGGTGACCAGAAGTCATCCGGAACAGATGTCCAAGCAACCTCAGCTGGCTATTTTCGATGTAGAGGAGCAGTGACTCTACTCCCGAGTTCTTCCTGGGTAACTGAGCTCCTCACCTGATCTCGAAGGGTGCCCCCAGCCACCCTGCGAAGGAAACTCATTTCGGCCGCTTGTATTGGCGATCTTGTCCTTACGGTCACTACCCAGATCTAATGACCGTAGGTGAGTGTCGGAACGTAGATCGATTGGTAAATCGAGAACTTTTCCCCGACTCAGTTCCCTCTTCACCATGATAGTCCAATAAAGAAGGTCCTGGTTTAATGAGGCCAACAGGACAACATTATCTGCAAACATCAGAGATGATATCCTGCATTTAGAAATTCTGTCCATTAGTGTATTGAACAGAACCAGTGACAACATGCACAGACCAACATGCACCGGGAACAGGTCTGACTTACTGCCCGCATTGAGAACCAAGCTCCTGCTGTGGTCATACAGAGAACGGACAGGCATTAACAGGGGCCCCTGGACCCTATACTACCAGAGCATTTATGGGGGGTTGGTGTTATGGGAACAGAATACAAATTAATTTTATTTTAATGAGTTTTCTTTTCACAAAAAAGAAGCAACAGAGGCAACAAGTCTTAATATATGTCCACTTCAGTTATGCAGATGTTTTCTGTGGGTGTGTCACATAAACTCCCAGTACCATATTGAGATGAATAACAAAATGTGGAAAATATAGGTTAAGCAAGATTTATGCAAGGTTCCCAACATGTGAAGTTTATCATCAGCTTTCTTTTGCTCTCAAATTCTTCACGGTGGCAGCTGCCTTTGGGTGGGGCCAGTGTCTTTAGCGTTGCTGTAAAGGTCACTGAGTCCACCTGTTGAGTAAATGTCACTGCAGGATTAGCACAGATTAAAAAGGCCTGTTTTCATGCAGTGAAAGTGTGCAAAATAAAACTGAGCAGCTCAGCGTGTTTTCCCTCATCAACACATTGGGGCAGTGTGAAAGGCTACAGGAAATGGCCACAGACCACAGGAAATGATGTTTAAAATGTGAACAACTGCTATGATGTCTTACCTCTTGTTGCTATCGAGCTGCTGCCTAGCTCAAACAAAGCCTCCTCTATAAACAGGATGAAAAAAAACTTCACATGTACCTTTTCACACCTCCTTTTCTCCTCTTTCCTCCTCCTATCATCGCCTTCAGTTCCCTACGTTCTCCTCAGTCACCTGAGCAACGAATCAGGTACTAGACTCTTGAGCAGGAGGCTTTGAACCAGAACAGCCTCTTACCCTTCTCAACAGACTGAATGTTGGGTGTGTGCAGAAAGCTCCCCAGAGAGCCATTAGATGCCTCAATAGGCATTTTTAGAGCAGCTTTTGCATACATCCATCCCCTCGTTGGAGCTCAATTCTTTGAGTTAGCATGTCCTATTCTAGTGTCCAACTGCTGCATGACCTGCTGCTGCAAATGCCCTGCTCTGTTTTTATTGCTTGTGATGTTTTTTTATCTTTCAGTGGACGCATTCAGCAATTCTCAGTCACGCCTTTAATTTTATTTTAGTCCTGTTAGTCTTTTATTTTTATCTGAGAATTGCTTGCATGGTAAGCACCTTTTTTTGTTGTTAATTTTCTTGTTTGTTTTCTGTTGTGTCTGTTTTCCTGTGTCGCTCTGGTCTGTGTTTTCAGCGTGAGTGGAATATTAACATGGCCTCTCTGTTTCAGTGCCTACAGCGGGAATGACTCGTCTGGCTCGCTCGCGCACCGCCTCCTCCTCCAGCATCACCTCCATGGAGAGCAGCCGCAGCCGCAACAACATCAGCAGCCTGCTGGAGGGAAACGCCGGCGCCGGCAGCCTGGACAACCAGGTGGCACCTCAGACCATGGAGGTGTCCTGTTAAACCCCGCCTCCTTTCACACTCTCATAGTAATTTATATATCCCCTCTCTCTCTTTTCTCACTCGTCCTGCTCCAAAGCAATTTGATGCCGGGGGAGTGTGTGTGATTAGAAAGGAGGATCTAATAAGTATATTAACAGATGCATATTAGAGGATATGTTATAAACACACACATATATATATATATATATACTGTCAAAGTCCTGTTACTAACATAAACCAGGAGTACATTCAGATGTTGTATATTTAAATGTTTTAAACCATTGGATTGAGTCCCCTGTCAAACCTTGTATTTATTTTGTCTTGTTTGAATCCTCTTTATACACTGTAGAAATCCTCTGTTCAACCAAGCTTTTTTTTTTTATTTCTAACGTGTGTTTTCCAACCATTCTGACTCACTCTGTTTCTATTTTTAAATCTACCACAATGCAAAGAATAAATCGGAGAACAAAGGTGTTCAGAAACGGTACTGGTACCTGTTGTTGTACAGTGGGTCTCTGAAGTGTGCGCAGACCTGTAAAAATACCAGGTAGTAGTGATGTACAACAATGATAGATCATTTTAGATGCGTTTCTGCATATGCTGTGAGGTTTATCCTGTTTGATCTGACTTTAAAAACAGCCCAGAGGTGTGCAGACCTTTAAGGCATGATTTGGTTGAAGCGCCTTTTGATTACTTTTTAAACATCTTATTGTACAAAAGTAGCAGTCAGGGGAAGGGTACAAAAATGTTCCAATGCATTATTTATATTTCATATTGAAGACAGTCACCAATAGTTGGAGTAAATGTGAGGTTACCTTAAGTGTAAAGTACCTTTTTAATCAGAGCTGCTGCTGTCCTGCATGAACCAAGCTTCACCGTCTTCCTCATATGTCTGAACTTTAGGAGCAGGATGTGACAAACAGGCCTGGCCTGACTGCAACCTTCCCAAACCTCATAGCAGGCAGATGAAATTAGAGAACCTTCCCAAATAAGCTAGTTTTGACTGAAAGCCGCCAGGAGGGTGGGGGCAGAGATAAGGGAAACTGATGGACCCCCAACAAAGAAGACTGAATGCTGACTTTGAAATAGAAGCGATTTAAACAGTTGTTGAGCTGTGCACACCCCATCTACCAGGTTATTGCAGCTTATTAACTTTCCGGACTGATGATTTTTTTTTTTTTTCTGGAGGGGGATAAAGGATAAATTCTACAATAAATTCTTTTTAAGAAATTTAAGAATAATTCAGTTATCTCCTATTGTTTTATGGCATAAAAATCTGTTATAACAGGCATCCTTTAGAGAGCCACTGCAGCAGAGGTGTCAAATCTTGATGGTAGATAAAGTGAGGCAGATATTTGCTGCTTGCAGCACAGGTGAGATCTTCCTAGAAAGCTGCTTTAAATGTCACCTGTTCAGCTTCCCTGTGTAATCAAACTCACCATCTCCATCTTTTTGTTTTTTTACTTTCTGCTCTGTGTTAATGTTTAGCTGAATGGGTTATTTCAGCAATGCTTTACCGACCTTTAACAAAAGGGTTCAGATGTGAAAGTGTAACAGTCCTGTCACTTAGGGGCCAAAAAAAACGGCTTCTCTCCGTCTGCTGATTCAGCTCATTTCTACTACTGAATAAAGCTACAAGAGACGAGCACACGCCTGGTGTCCTTTATTTTCCAGTTAGTGGCCTACGATGTTCTCACGATAAAAGTGGCATGCAGGCGACTAGAGACATGTCTGAATGTAACAACAAACAGAACGCATACCTCTGCAGTAAGTTCTAGTACTTTTCCTGCTCTCTTAGTGGAAAAGCAAGGTGATAGTGGTGAGATTGTTTCCAACCACACACGCTCTTGTTTCCTTTCTGAGTGATAACTGCTGCTGTCGGAGATGAGGCCATCTATATTTAGCACCCACAAAAAAACAAAAAAAACAATGATCAGCTGCTTTGAGAGAGACCGACTTCAGCAGATCGACAGAGTGGAACAAAAAAAACGTATCTATGAAGGAAGGTTCAAACAATGGAGATTTAGCTGCGTTGGGTTCAAAACTGTTTTTTGTGCACTTGAGTTAATGAAGCCTTATATTGCAGAGTGGGGTTGTCTTAATTACTGATCTCTTTGCACTCGACAATTAAATCTTGTACGGTGAAGTTTTAGTACACCCCACCAATGTAAGAAAGGCTGCGCTGGTCTGGAAGTGGTTCCTTTCCATCTGCTAAGCTAACAGAATATTCTGGTGATTCAGTACCAATCTGATCTGTTCTTTTATTCTTTCCATTCACTGTTATCCTTTTGCATCTCAGAAAGCCTAGCTGATAAAGAACATGCAGAACTTCCAGCCTTTTATCTCTGCACTAATACTGCTGAAGGAGTCTTTCCAGCCGCAGATACATATATGCAATCAATCTTTTTCCCCCCAGTTATTTTGCATATTCTTTTGTTATTAGATAATAGAAACGCCTACTTGAAAAAATGGGGTTTAGGGGTGTGTTTTTAATTTATTAACTTTTCCGTTTTGCCTTTATCTTGCACTGTAGCAGTTAAGTCAGAAAGCTGAATTCACACACAGGTTCTGTGCTCTTTCCACCAGTTGTCCGTGTGACTGGCATGAGGATATGGAGTCGGCTCCCATGAAGACTCTGTTGTCTTTAGGCCACCATGTCATGAACTTTGAGTTATGCACAGGAGTACTGTTAGAGGGGACGCTCAACACCATCTCTGCCCACTTTCTCTCTGTATATGCTGAATAAATTCTACTAGCACCTTGAGCTGTATATTTATTTTAAAAATTACCAAGTTGTACCCAAACTTTATTTCCCTGCTGATGCCTTGAAATGCATCATTGTTTGCACCAGTCTCTCATGCAATGGTTTCAAATTTAGGACGGTGCCCTTAATGCCAGCATCTAGGATTTAGAGATATCAATGAAGGTTTTTGATATGTTATTTACACATGGAGTATCAGGTTCTCTAAGGTCTGCTTTTCCATAAACTAGTGATTAAAGTGAACTGCAAACATCAGGAGATGTCACTACTTTGTTAATTCGACCCCACATACAGGAGTTTACAGGAAGTACTAAATCTTGCTTTAATCGTTCCTGGAAAATATAATTATAGATGCCCTCTATCTTGAACAGTCAGTGAAATCCCTACCAAATGTCCCATTTAATTGGACAAAGTTTTAAAATTGTTTTATTACATTTTTTTGTTTAAATAACTAAAATGTTCTCTTTTACAACAACTAAATGTAGAGATGTACTTCTCTCATCCTAAAATCCTATTCCATGTGAACATGGTGACATGAATTATGAAAACATGATTACCCTGATCATTTTAATAGGCTTTCATTTAAAAAGGGCAAAGAATTAGCCAATTATTGTCACAACAGCTAAATATTTCTGAAGTAAGAGGTTTTTTTTAATGTACATATTCATCTCAGTGTCCTTGTGTAGCATTAATCCAGATTCTAAAGGCTTGTTTAAAGTCTGGCCAAGTCCAAAAACTATTTTTTTTCTGACTTAAAATCACTTTGATCTAAAACATCTTCACAATTTAATACAGATTCTTGGTTACAAAGGTTTAGACCGGCTTTGTGTTTGTTTTAGTAAATTTACAAAAACATTGAGGACTATTTTATGGAAAAAAGCAGGTTGAAGCGCGTTGAACACACTTTTTTTAATTGACAGGACGATAAAATAAGTAATAATACGCCTCCTCTAGTTTCCTTTTCTCCTGTAGTTCAATCCTCTCTGTAAATAACCACCTAATCAAACCATTGATAAAATAATATTGAGTTGGGGTCGGACAGAGGAAAGCTGATTGACAGGTGGTTAGTTTCCAGGACCAACTTGGGCTTAAACTAAATTAGAACGACATTTAAACCACATTTAAGAGCATTATAACATTTTAAAGCCAGAATTTAACAGATGGATTTTGCAAACCAATTGAAACTTCACCATCTCTACTTCTCTTAAATATTTGTTTTTATCATTTTCCAGTATTCTAACAAATGAATTACAATTAAATAGCACAACGATCGGCATGTAATGGCAAGGAGAAAATAAAAATTGAATTCAAATAACCATTTTTAAAGACAACCTTTAATAATCATTGAAACTTCACTCATCTGAGAGGTTAAAAATCCTATAGCCAATATGCATGAATGAATGTCTGACGTGTCAGGTCTATTTTTGCTGCATCTGTATCTTTATGAACTTCTGACAGGAGACAAATGATAGCAGTAGGTTGGCAGAAGATTCTGCAGAGCTCTGCTGGCTCTTATCAGATGTTCCCATTTCAGCACAGCTGGGTGGCTGTGGGCAGATGGAGAAACCAGCCAGTCTGTTTCTAGTGCCTTATTGCATTGAATTGTTCCTATAAAATGATGTCACCAAATCAACCCACAAAATCAGCGTCAGAACTACTGTAAATGCAAATGCTGCTCACGTAGAGGCGCAGCTCATTCCATAAACAAGTAGCTTAAAGATCTATTCAGATACAACCTTGCAGAGCTATCTGAGTCAGATGTTTTGAGTGTCGCACGTCACAGGAGGCTGGATGTCATACATAAGGCGAAGCGGGAGACCTCCTCTCTTCAGTCAGCCCACGTTAGACACAGCTGCAAAGACACAGCAGCTTCTATTAGAGCAGAGCAGAAGAGGGAGCTGAGTGTTGCTCACATTAAAAGGGATTTTCTGTTCAAGAAGGAGAGAAGGATTTATCTGCAAGAAGGCTTGGAATTTACTGGAAGCTCTGATTAAAATCATTTCTGCAAGAATTAGACAAGGTGAGTTCATTTTATGTGCCTTTTTCTCCCAATTTAACCACCAGGTTGTAGTGTTAAACTTTATTGCTTGGCTATGTCACTAAACTGTACTGTTATTGTTAAAAGTAGAAAATAGAGAGATATTTAAACAATATGCATTGTCTTCATGCATTTTGCAGAAACTAATGAAGGTGGATTCAGAGTGTATCCCTCGCTTACATGTTTTATGGAAATTTAACACAGGATATCAGGGCTTTTTGTTGTGGTTGGGCGCCTTCCTGTTTCACAGATCGCTTCTCTTGCCACTCTTGCTGCACAGTCATAATGTAATAATTAGTGGGATGGGTACAATTAAAAGGCTCCTGTATTTCCCGGCATGTCTGATTTAGTTTCTTTTCTCATGAATTTGCAAACCAGCAAGAACATGGGCACCTGCTTCACCAGATGCCATTCTCACCAGACTGTCCTCGAAAATCAGCCAGAATCTGTGATTCCAGGTAAGCTTTGGCCAAAAAAAACATGCCTGATGCAAAGTGAATTTAAAGCAAAAATCAACACTAAACATCCCTGACCTGATCTCTGCAGGAGAACAGGAAAGTGTGATTGTCTCTCTGTACGACTACCCATCGTTAGAGCACACAGAACTGACAATGCGAATGGGAGAAAGACTAACCATTGTGTCAGAGTAAGTATACCTTCTGATATCTTTTCATCACCATTAAGACTGAAGGACAAAAAAAAAAGATAAATATCTGTTCTTACATATACAGTGATGGAGATTTTATGATGGTGAGATCTACAACCTCAGGCCGCAAGAGCTACATTCCTACCAACTACACGGCCAAAGTCATTGACAGGTGAGAGGCTTTAATTGTGGAAGGCTGCTTCAAATGTAATAATAGGAGGGGACTTCCATGAGAGGCGAGAGGAGTTTTCGTGTAGGTGACCTGTGCCTCAGTGGAGACTGATCTCTGGAACAAGACATTTATTCTCTCCACTGACATGGGCAACCTCCAGCAGTTTCCCTCCCCCTCCTTAGAGATGAATCTGCACTGATGTTCCAGGGGTTTTCCACATCTCAAACCTCTAGCCAGATTGATTTTTTTTGTTCAACCTTGCTGAATATGTGGATAATCCTTTGCAGTTTTTTCTGCAGGTGGCTGTACACAGGAATCAGCAGGTATAAAGCCGAAGAACTCCTTAAAAATTCCAGCAACCAGAGCGGCGCTTTCTTGATCCGAGAATCAGAGACAAACAGAGGTCAGTTTGTTTTGCTTTGTTTTTTAATTGAAATCTCTATGATTGGCTGTTTGATTTAACCATAAACTGTGCTGTGAAATAACTCAAATTAAAATATGCTTTAAAAATGGAAGCATACACAAAAAAGTTAAAAAATAAAATAGGAGACTATAGAGTAATGGCAAATTAAGTAAAGAAGAATATCGTACAGATATTAAAAATAACAATCTGATTCAAAGATATATGCATCTAGATCGGATCATTTAAAGAATAAACATGTACACGTATATATTTGTGCATACAAAATAACAGCAGGTTGTTTACAATAAATTTAAAAATTCTGTACGACAGAAGGGATGAAATACTTCCTCATTTTCTGATCAGATTGAATGTTGAACAAACTAATATAAGGAGTGGCTGGATGAAATAACCTGGATCACTGAACTTAAAATGTATGATTTTATTTAACTCTACAAAGAAAGTGATCAAACTAAAACAAAAAATGTTACATTTTTATATCTGATAAAACATTTATGGAAAAAAATTAAGACATTTTTCAGATATATGTTTTAAAAAAGCAATAAGTGTGTAAAATTAATTTGAAAAGTCTTAAATCCAAAGCTGTGAGTTTTAACTGCTGCATCTGTGCTCTTTGAACATTTAGACAGCTATTCACTCTCCATCCTGCGAAGGACCGGTTCCTCAGACATAAATCCTGTGAAGCACTACCGCATCTCTCAGCTGGAAAACTCCTGGGTCTACATCTCTCCAGGACTCACATTCCCCTCCCTTCATTACCTGGTGGAACACTATTCAGGTTAGTACTGAGATCTTTTGTCATTACGAATGTAAGATTTGCTTAACCGACATTAGTGCAATTCTTTCTCCCTACAGAGGTTGCAGATGGACTGTGCTGCCGACTGACGGTGCCTTGCTTCATCCAAGGGTTGGATGACCCTCGACCAGTTCCCATCACTGTCAGAAGACCTACCATCAACTGGAGGGAAATTAGCAGGTTAGAGAAAGTACTGATGGTCGCCAGAATATGTCGCTCTCCAACTATTTTTATGTTTCAACTCTTTATTGTTGACATTGGCTCAGAGAGCGTTGATTCAGCCCCACACTAATGCAAGATTCAGAGCTGGGTAAACTGATGCAGAGGAGTGTGAAAACAAGATCAAAAGCCATACAGCCAGATAAGGCTGTGGTTGCATTTACTAGATGCCATTTGTTTTGCACAACACAACATGTTCGGTCAAACGCCCTTTGCAGCAGATTCTGATGCTTGATACTGTAAACTTGAACTTCATTTGTTAGAAATAAGTTTACCGTTGTTTTGTTGTTGCTTCATTTCTGCAAAACGAAACCGATTCAGATCTCTAATCTATTGTCCGTTCTGTTCTATTGAAGGTCTGTGATCCTCAGGAGGAAGAGAACTGAGTCAGACAACTCTCTGGTGAGCGACGGGCTGAGGGAGGCCATCAGCTCCTATCTCCAGTTAACAGAGTGTAAAGATCACAGCTGGGACACATGAAGGAAAACGCGGGCAGTCGGTTTGAAAAAAATGAAGTCCAACAGAAAGAGTAGAGTGAAATACTACCCTGGGGCTGCTGCAGGTGAAGCAAACAGCGGAAGGAGCTGCTCTGCGTACCCAAATGCAGTCTTTGGAGGATTGTTCAGGAACAGATGAGACGCTGAGACACTGCACTTCTCAGAGAACGCTCAAAAGGTTCTACGTCTCTATGGGTGATGGGTGACGCACAAAGACAGAGGATGTAACCTGCAAAGTGAAAGGCAAAGAGGCAATGAATGTTTCCCCTTATTTATGAAAACTCTTACCTAAAATGTTCTATTAACATGACGGCAATATGAATGTATGTGAATGTTTTCATGGTTTTCATGTTTTTTTTTTGTGGAATCCAGTATGATCCATACGCTACTAATAAATCATTCACAGAAATAAATCAACATATATTTACAGGAATTTTGGGTGTAATGGATTTATTTGTTTTAAATTGAGATCTAATGAGGTATATGGGCTCTTGAGGTTTTCCTTCATCATCACTGTCCAGTTCAGAGTTATGTTACTCATTATATCTCAGCATATATACTCAGTAACTCAAGCAAATGACAAAAAAAAGATTATTTAAAATAAAAATTTAAAAAGTGCATAGGAATTGGAAACTTCTAAACCCATATATCACTTTATATTAAAATACAGCAGTAAACATTAACTAGTACTCTTCTTTAGGACTTTCAAATCACTTTCTTGTGATATTGTTTGGGTTCAAGTGGTGGCTTTATCAGAACTGATTCTCTCCAGGAAAAGCCGGGGCCTCAAAAGGAAGATGGATGTAAAATCTCTCTTTTAATACATGACAGAAAGAAACAGAGCTAAAAAGACAAATAGCAGTAAACCATTCAACCTGAAAAAATACAATGTGGAGCTCAACCAGCTAGTGAGACAATATCAACCAAGGAATTTAAACCGGCTTTATTTAAATCTCTGTCAGGAAAATAATCATGAATCAATGACTTAGTTACTTAACAAAATTTTGAGTTTATGTTCCTAATTGAGACGTGGCTAGATGAAACTACGGAGATGCTGATTTTATTGGAGATCGCACCTCCAGATTACAATTTTCTCCATCAGAACAGACTGTTTACAAAAGGGGGCAAACTCATTACTCTGTTCAATGATTTACTAAAGTGCAGAAAAGTGATCCTGTGTGACTTTAAATCTTTTGAATATCTGGCTATCCAAGTACAAGGCCCTGTTCGAGGCATGTGAATGTTTATAGGCCTCCAAAGTCCAAGACAACATTTTCTAATAATTTTAACAAACTTTTATCCATGATATATATTGAACATGACTACTTAATTATTTTTTGGGGACTTTAATGAACATGCTGACAACCCTAAAGACAAAGGTACAAAAGAACTGTGTGATATTCTTAAAAGTTTTGGTTTGACTCAACATCTTAAACAGCACACACACACAATCAGTGACACATTTTGGACCAGGTCATCAGTAAAGGTCTAAATATTTCTAATTTTTCTGTAACTGATGTTGCTCTGTCTGGCCATTTTTCTTTCTTTCTCAGTGATCTAATTACCAAAGGAGTTGTTATATGAAATTTTGTTATCATTTTTAGTAAAATGAGTAACTTTACCCAGGCTTACTCTTCTGCTTCCACTTTACTCTTCATTCTCTGAGATTATCAACAAGAACTTCAACAATGATCGTGCCTTGTTTGCTACATTTGAAAGGTTAACAAACCCTCTTTTCTCTGTGGCCGATGAACTCCACATCTAAAAAGGCCTGAAATGACTTTGAAAAGGTTTTTTTTACCGAGAAAGTAGAAGGTATTAGAAAAGCTTTCAGAATAAATTCTATTAAATGTCCCAATATAAACTGCAAAAGCTTGGAAGAAACTGTTAGGCCGCTAAGCTCTTCTTCCTGGTGTCTTGATATTTTATCCACAGGTTTTATTAAGAAGGTTGTACCTGTTTTAGAGTCTGATTTGATTCAAATCATTAACACATTCCTTATGTTGGATGTTTTCCCTCAGGCCTTAAAGCAGCAATTATCAAACCATTGTTAAAAAAGAGAAAATTGGACAAATCGTCTTGTGGATCTACAGGCCCATCTCAAACCTCCCCTTCATCAGTAAAATTCTTTTAAAAATTTGCGGGGTTATTGGATGCTTTAATGTGTTTTTGTACTGCATCAGCAGTTGTACCTTTTTTTTTTTTCACCTCTGATCGTTATCTTTCGAGGTTGATATTTTCTTTCCAGCTGTACTATTTAGTGGTAATATTTATACATTTCTATTCATTTTTTGAATTTCTACATGTGTGACCTAATTCTGTTTGAAGCTTCCTTTGAATCGACGCTATGGGGTATTTTTTGAACCTGTTTTAAATTCCATCTGGTACCAATGCAGGTAAATCCTATTTTTTTTTTTTTTTTACAAAATTGTACATTTTGTAATATTCCAGTTTAAGAATAGCACATTTTTAAACCCCTTCTTATATTAATATATCAATCACACAATAATGATTTAAAAATATTTGATCCAAGGAATAAAAACAAAAAACATGTAACTTCTGCGATCAATAGAAAAAGATGTAACTTCTGCGATCAATAGAAAAAGTAATTATACAGAAAATTCACAGATAGTCAACAGATAGGTCCTAACACTGCACAAATAGATTAATTAAAAATTTTATTTCTAAAAAACTAAAAATAAAACACGAGTACAAAAATCTGCACAAATATAATTCAGGTGTCTTTCAACAACGGGGCATGTTTTCTCATGCATCAAAAGCCAATCTGGACAAAAACCCCTAGCCTGTCCTTAAACAGAGAGTTCTATATATATGTATCTGTTTAGTCTGTGTTTTTCTTTAATAGTCCCGCATTAAAAGGGACAAATAATACATTTGTAAAATAAAGCTTATGTAGCTTTTATTTTTATATTTTAATTGTTTTTTTATTATCCTTATTTCAGCTCCATAAATATATTTAAAATATTATGCTTTCATTTGCTGTCAGCATAGTAATAATTTCTAAAATATAAAGTATGGTATATATTTAGAATAAAATTTTTTACATATAATATCAAAATAAAAACACAAATATTTACAAATCTTCCACAAACAGTTTATTGTAAGAATCAGCTTATGTCCACAACACAACACTGAGATATCAATATACTTTGCCTGCTGTGGATCAGCCAATTTACCAGAATTCTAAATGCTTGTTAATGGGGAGGATTTTTTTTATTTTATTTTTTCCATTTAAAATGTGTATACATTTCTTTTATTTGTGCTTATTGCTTATTAATCTATGCAAAAGAGGTTCAATTGTCAGACTGATTTGGGATCTTCCTTCTAAACACCTCATCATCTATTATCACTGTTTTGTATAAGACTGAGATGAGAACTTTGTAATGGTCACACTAATATCCAGACTTTATTGTCTTTAATCCCATTTGTATCTAACTTGGTGACTTGCTTATAGTCCCTATCATTTTGGATGACTTGCATGTCCCCAAACTTTAACTGTGTACCAGATATCTTGATATGGTACTTTACTGTGCACAATTAATATATTTCCTCTCATGATATAATCTATTTTGTGAAGTGCACCAGTTCCTTCTGCAGGGAAACACCTACACACCATGCTGCAACCCCCGTACTTCACAGCTGAACTGATGCTCTCAGGCTTGACTGTTTTCTGCCAGGTCTGGAATCTGTTCTTTGTTGTCTTTTTTTCCTTTGATTCTTTAGTGGTAAGGGCCTCCTGACCCAATTATATTTAAGATCCAAAAAAACATCCACAGGTGTGTTCAAGATTGTTATAGAATTAGTTAATTAACTTATGAAGAGCTTATTAAACTATGACATTAACATTTGTGTTTTTCAATTTATTTGATAAAATAGTGTTCTTATTGTATATGACCTTCTATATTGGAAGAAAATAGATTAAAAGAATCTTCCTACCCTTATCTACATTAAGTCTGTACTATTGTATCAGCTATTTACTCACCCTAAATGTGTAAATCTTTAAGTGGGGACTCTAAGATTACTTTTTAAATTGTTGATACTCATTTCTCTTCTTTTAAAAAGCAAGTGGTTATCTTGTACGAATTGTGTTATACGAATAAACCACCTTGTCTTATTTTATGTTTCAAGACTTGAAAAAGTTGTACTGTTTACTAAGTTAACATGACTGATTTAACGAAATAACTGATTAAAAACCTGCACTGCCCATGATCTACCATCAGATGGCGCGTCGTTTCCCTTTTTTTTTTTTTTTCTTCTTTTTATTAAAGCCTTCCACTTCCTGCCCAAACAGTCCGGTTCAGGAAGAAGAAATAATGGCGACGCTTCTAGGGTCTGAGTTCTCTAGTAGTGGAAGAAAAAGAAGAAATTGTAATAGCAACATAGTCACAAAGTTAACGTCCAGTAAAATAACTGGCAAAGGTTTTAGCCGAGGAACACAGGTAAGAGAAATGTGCCCTGTATTGACAGCGGATGCATCCGAAATGTAAACCAGTGAGTCCGGGGACTTGCGCATGGATCCAAACCTCGAAAATGAAGACGTTATCCCGGAGAGCTAGCTAAGGAGCTTTTATCTCCATCTTTATCAGTTAGACAATGCATTACATCGTGTTTGAACCCAAAAATGATATATTTCAATATGTGAACATGCGTTTATATTGCCGAGTGGATAACGTTGATGTTAAAACCTCCACATAAAGTGCATCTTTTGTTGTTAGCACCACATTAGCTTAGCATTTACGGCGAAGTTAAAGCTATGTGATCTGATAAGTTATGCTAATAATAATATTATCTTTATCAACCTCTAGGACGTTAATTATACTGAGAATCTTAACGATTCGTTGTTAAGATGTTTCTAACTTTTAACAAAGGGCAGGTGGTTTTGGTATTGTTAGCGAACAGGCTAACTGAAGCTAGTTAGCCAGGGTAGTTCCAGCCGCTTAGGCTGTTACGTAACGACGCACCGACTACAACAAATCCCGTTTACATAATTTTTGAGCGCTAAAGAGCTACCTGTGCATGACTGTACGTTAAATTTGGTTTCCACTCGCAGAAAAAAACAAAAAATGTATAATCTAGGGTTCATGTTTTCAGCTGGCTAGCATGCTGGTGAAGATTCTCAGTCATCCAGGTCATAGTTATTCCAAAAAAGTAAAAAAAAACAACAACAAAAAACACCAGGGGTGTGAAGAAAGGTGCAGTGGTGACCTATTAGTAAGAGCAACGAGCTTGGAATCCTGAGGTTCTGAGTTCGTGTCCCACTCCCACAGACTGCAAGACCCTATACCCCACTATGGCAGCCCCAAGAGGATGGGTTAAATGCAGGAATAAACTTCTTCAATTTGAGATCAATAAAGTTCAGTTATTAAAAACACAAATGCTTCCTTCACACATCTGGGGAGTGAAGGAAGCCATTTATGTTTATATTTTCTCAGTTAATGCTCCCTAGTCTCCATTTTTCATTGACCGTTGGTAACAAGCATTTGCTGTTGGGTTGATGATGGGGTTAAACTACCCAACTGTGTCTAAATTTAAGTTCGAATCTACATATTTTATTTCAACGTCACTGGTATTGGATACAGACACAAATTTGAAACTCACAGTCCTTGCTTCCACCATTACCAACAAAATTGGGGAGGAATAGATGTGTATGTTCTAGGGGTGTAAATAATAATCGTTTTGTATCGATGCATCGATCCAAAAGCCGACGATCCGATGCATCGTCACGGCCGCGAGATAATCGATTCATGTTTTTTTTTTTTCCTCCGGTCTATTTTTATCCAGTTGCTCCTGGGCGTAATTCTCCCTCCCGTGCTGCGGTGCCGCTAAACCTATTTTGCCCTCCTACCGCGCTTCCTGGTTATACTCTTACAGCAGTGTATTGCAGTAAGCTTGACACAGACATTTTTAAATTATGCTCCATATTGAAGCCTGGTCTGGGCTACACGCTGTTGGTCTAGATACCGAGGCGGTGAGGAAGTGGGGGCGAGTTTAGTCCGACGACGGAGGGACATGAGAGCCAAAAAGAGCGGAGATCCAGCTGGAAAAAGGGTCCCAGCGTTCTCGCGCACCTCGCTCTTCTAGCGGGTCCAACTTCACGAGTTGTTTTCCGCAATTTCGGTCATAAAAACAAAACAAGCCGGCCTCCTGTCTGCTGCACTGTTTGCGGTCAGCTACAATCTGGGAGAGGTGCAGCGGAGCGTCTCTCAAGGGAGTGGTGACGTCGACACACTGGAGCCTTCTTCTTCTTCTTTTTTTTAATGGCGGTTGGCAAACAACTTATAGGTGAATTACCGCCACCTTCCAGAATGGAGTATGGACCAGACAAACTATTATATTCTCCCTAAAATACCCGTTCTTCTTAGAAAATTAAAAATACTCCCAAAAACTACATCCCCAGATTACCTTTGAAACAATTCCCTTATATCTAGTTTATTTTTATTCCTGTCTAACTCTCTACGCAACATCTCTCTTTCCTGAGTATATTTATTACATTCTAAAAATATATGTTGGACAGTTTCTTTGGAGCCGAGGTATTGCATTGAATTCATTACACTGATATTGTGCAGTATTTTTTGATGCAACTTTTCTACTTCTGTTATTTGCTGTTGTTTCTAAAGAAAATGCATAATGATATTACAGCTTTCATTGATTTATTTCAAACTTGAAACTTTGTTTAGCCTGTAAGGTGTAAAAAAAAAAAAAATAATAAAGGAAAAATGTAACCGATTAATCGATTAATCGAATCGTGGTGTATTCTTGAGAATCGAAAATAATCGAATCGTTGGGTCAGGAAATCGATACTGAATTGAATCGCCATGATGGATGTGATTTACACCCCTAGTATGTTCTGAACTTCAGAGCTCTATTGACCTTTCTGTCTACTTAATATTTCCGCCTCTGACAATTGGCATGATTTTCTTCCATATTATTGTTCAGTGGTGCTTTAGTTGTCCTTTTGCAAGACAAGAAGTGTTTCCCCGATATAGATTTATCATAATTTTAATGCCAATATGAATATGTAAAATTAATTATCAGCAGTAATGAAAAAAATAATTCATTAGATTTTTACAAAGCGCATCGAAAAACGTATTGTTTCTTGGTGTAGAATACCAAAAGTGTTTGTCTTACGCTGCCATATTGTATGGAATCATTCATAAAAATATGCTAAGGATAAAATTAATGGTTTAAAATTTGTAATATCTACAGCAGACTTTATATATCAGTTTATTTTTTCAATGTACACAGAAGAGCTTTTAGAAGATTGTTTAGCCTTTTTACTTTTAGGTGAACAGGAGAAGGTAAAGTTGCTGCTAAAAGATGATGTTTGATTGCAGGGCAAGGAGTTAGTGTTTGTTTGGTAAACACATGGTGACAGTAGGATTTGCTTCTTTTTTATTTTCTCTTTGTCATTATCCATCCAAGATTAAAGACATTTTCCAACACATATCCCCACATTTAGACTGAAATTTGGAACTTTTGCCTGCAGAAAAGATCCCCATTGAAAACGCCATCAGTGTGTCAAGCACCAGGTCTAACCCTCTTTAAATTTTCATTTATGCATATCTCCATCACGACCTGTGGATGACATCAAATAAATTGAGAAAATCCTCCCCTGCTTCGTGCAATTGCTAACACCACTGCTTCAGACTGAAAATATTTTTTTGTGATTTGGCTGTATTTATATTTCGTAAACATTCCGCATCTAATCACACAGAGTCCAGACTCGTAGATCAACACTGAGTACCTCAGCAATCCTTTTTAAATTCCCGAGCCCATTTATTGTTGATTACAGAGATTTTCTGTTCTAGATTCTAGAAAGTAGTTTTTTTTTAAGTGTTCTACCCCTGAGATAAATGAGTTTATTTCCAGCATAGCTCTCCAAAATGTTATTCTACCAAAGAGAAACCATATCACAGACTTCAAAGGAAACCATGGATCAGATAAAGCCTAGCATAAACAATCACCTAAAAGCTCACACTGTTTAACATGATTGCACACTACTTCGAAAAGAAACAAGCATTTCTTTGACACAGCCTTATTTTTCTCTGCTGCACTTCTCAATCCACACAAATATAAATGTGCAGACACAGCATGAAAGATACATTTAGCTTTCATGTTTCCCTATTTTCTTACTATTTTAGTTCTATAGATGACCTCATGAACCACCTAATTAAGCTTTTCTCTCTCTCTCTTTTTTTTACGTTGCTTGTACACAGTTTTAGACTTGCATTAATGAATATTGTTTGTTTACAGTCGGTTGTATGCTAAGGTTTTGTTCTACATTAGAAAACATTGCTCCTTCGAGTATCACTCCTACAGTTGTCTGTTTTGTGTATTGTAGCTCCCAGGAGGCTTGCTTCAGAAGAGAGATAAACCCGCCAAGTGGCATGGCATCCCTGACTTGCTGCAGAAGCTCTATGAGAGCAGCCACCCCAACAGTGACCTCTCCTATGCTCACGCCTATCTCAAGGTGAGGAGTAGTGCTTTTAAAGGTATAGTGGAGGATTTGTGACAGCAAATCCCATAATGCTGTGCAAGGTTTTCCGCTCAAAAGCATTCAGGGATATATCTACCTTTTCTGAGGCCTTTCTTTTCTTCTCATACACCTTATAGACACTTTTGCCTTTACAATTCTCTCCCATTTTCAAAGAACCGTGGTGAGAATGGTGAGCTTTAATGATTGTCTGAAACCGTAGCCCACTGAAAGTGTGCATGCCTGGAAAAAGATAGCTAACGGGACGAGCACATAGGACGGCCTGACGTAAACATATCACCAGAATGATTGACAATTAGAAGGACCACTTATTTTGATGATCCACCCGGAACAAAAATATCGTCCCTTATACATTTAAATGCTTTATTCCTGGTTTTTAAAACCGCAAAATGAGAAATTCATGCTGTTTTGTCTTTTTCTTTATTTTTCTCTAGAGCTTATCATCACAACTCTCAATGGAGGCCATGTCCTTTGTCACAGAAGACAGAAAGACTGCTCAGGAATCCACCTTTCCCAACACATACACCTTTGACCTGTTTGGTGGCGTCGATGTAAGTCAGAGAATGTCACCAATTGTCTTGTAAAGCTTAAATCTCTGCTTGGGTTTAAAGTAAAAACTCTACTTTTTACTTACTTTCAAAGCTGCTGGTGGAAATCTTAATGAGACCCACGCTGACTATGCAGAAGAAGAAACCTAAAAGTGAGTAAAAACAACTTCAAAAAGTTATCTTTGTCTGTTATCTCATAGCTACGGCTTTTTTTGTTAGCTGTAAATTTCCAGCTAACATTTATTTTCTTATTCCAACAGTGAATGATGAGTTGGTCAAAGACTGCCTTAGTATTCTGTACAACTGTTGTATTTGTGTGAGTATTTATTCAGGATAAAACCACAGATGCTTTAAGCCATCATAGTTTTTTGTTTCTCTTTTGGATTGTTTATTCGGTCTGTTTATATAAGTTAAAATCTTGATTTTTTTTTATTTTTTTTTTCTCTCATTATAGACAGAGGGGGTGACAAAGACCCTGGCAGCAAGGGACGATTTTGTTTTGTTTCTCTTCACTCTCATGACGAACAAGAAGACCTTCCTGCAGACAGCGACGCTCATTGAAGATATTCTTGGAGTAAAAAAGGTGAGTAGTTCTATGATGGGACCAGTGAAGTTTTTTTGGGGCAAAATATTCTGATTTTAATTATTTTTCAATAATATGAGTAACTTCTTGTAGATCATTGGTGTGATGTCCTTGTAATAGCTTAGATTATGTCAAAAATATATATTTGTTCATTTTCTTTCTTATCCTCTCTCTCCAAGATCTGATCATTTTGGTAACAGCAGAGCCAATTATAGTCCGATTAAAGACTGTTTCGTAATATGAACCAATTTAAAGGACATACATCGTATAGTCAGAATGTAATTACTAACCTGATTTTTGTTGTAAATTAAAAACTCTTAAGTCCCAGCATTTACACTTAAAAGGAATTTAATGGGGGTGTTATACTAACCAAAAAACAACAAAATATTTCTCATGATCAAGCATCAGTTCATTTACCAGACATAGTTAAGTTAATGGAATATCAGTTTTTATTGTAGTAATATATTTGCTTTGTGTATCTTAAATTAAAAGTGCTCTGATGTGATTAAGAATGACCTCTATTAGTACCTCAACTAAAAACCACCTGGTTCAGCTGATCATTGACCTAAAGTCTGATCTGTCAGTCGAGATGTTATCGACTGCAACCTGGTGGTTAATGGGCTGCTTGGAGGTAATGTGTGTGTTCACTTGTTTCAGGAGATTATCCAGTTGGAAGCAATCCCCAACCTCTCAGGTCTGGTCCAAAGCTTTGACCAGCAGCAGCTGGCCAACTTCTGCCGCATCCTGTCTGTCACCATCTCAGAGCCTGATGTAGGAAATGATGACAAGCACACTTTACTGGCCAAAGATGCCCAACAGAAGCGCAATGCGGGCCCATCGCGAGCCGAGCTCAACCAGGGTATGTTTACTATTGTAAACAGAAATATGACAGGACAGAGAAAACAGCCTATTGATCCGTGCTCCTTCTACAGTTACTCTTCTAAACATCCCTGGCTTCATTGAGCGGTTGTGTAAGTTGGCCACTAGAAAGGTGTCTGAAGCCACAGGAGCAAACTTCCTGCAGGAGCTGGAGGACTGGTACACATGGCTGGACAATGCGCTGGTGCTTGATGCGCTCATGCAAATGGCTACTGAGGAGGCTGAGCAAAGTAGCACAGGTGAGACGCCTTACATCTCATAACCTCTTCCCCTAAATGCTTGGATCCTCAGCAATTCGGCTTTTCTCTTTTCAGAGTCGTCAGATGAGAGTTCTCTGGCCACCAGCCCTCTGAGGCACAGGCTGCCGCAGTCCATGAAGACTGTCCATGAGATCATGTACAAGGTAGAAGTGGTGTATGTGCTCTGTGTCCTTCTGATGGGCCGACAGAGGAACCAGGTACTGCTGCTGTGCTTAGGGTCTAGTGTGTTGTATTTTTTAGCAAAGCTGAACCTGGCTTTATTCCTTCTATTCTGCTTTGTAGGTTCATAAAATGCTGGCTGAGTTCCGTCTCATCCCAGGGCTCAATAACCTATTTGACAAGCTCATCTGGAGAAAATACACAGCTTCAAACCACGTAGTGCACGGCCAGAATGAGAACTGCGACTGCAGTCCAGTATGATCCTCTTCACCTTCTGCTTTTCATTTTTATAAGAAATCAGTAAATTGTCACATTTTAAATTGAGCCCTGTTGCTTTTGTCACAGGAAATATCCTTTAAAATACAGTTCCTGCGGCTGCTTCAGGGTTTCAGTGATCACCACGAGTAAGTGCTCGAAATGTCAGCCAGTTTTATGCTGATTTTTGACTTTAAGGTTTCCGATTTTGTAATACTGCTTCTGCGTTTTAGGAACAAGTACCTCCTCCTCAACAACCAGGAGCTGAATGAACTTAGTGCCATATCCATGAAGGCCAACATCCCAGAGGTTGGGGCTCTAGTAAACACAGACAGAAGCTTAGTTTGCGATGGAAAGAAGGGTCTCCTCACACGTCTGCTCACTGTCATGAAGAGAGAACCTCCTGACTCATCATTTAGGTTCATATATTATAACTATAATTCACTAAATCATATTCATATCTGCAGTTTTTAAGAGAGGGTCTGTCTTGTCCTTTTTTGGTGACTTATTTTAGGTTCTGGCAGGCTAGGGCAGTGGAAAGTTTTCTCAGAGGAGCAACTTCTTATGCAGACCAAATGTTCCTCCTAAAGAGGGGCCTATTGGAGGTAGGCAGTTTGTCTTCCCATCTGTCTTTAATGAAGACTTCTGAATTCTCTTAAGAACCAAAAAAGTGTTTGTTTTCATTTTGAGGATTTTAACTGATCTCTGCTCATTTTCATCCTTGGCCAGCATATCCTCTTCTGCATCATAGACAGTGGTTGTGCATCTCGAGATGTCCTTCAGAGCTACTTTGATCTGCTGGGAGAGCTTATGAAGTTCAACATCGATGCCTTTAAAAGGTTCAACAAATATGTCAACACACCAGAGAAGGTATGAGAGGACTCCTGTTAGGGTATAAAAATACTATATTCTGTCAATCTTAATGAGCAGAAAGACTGACACCAGCTATGACATCTGTTGACAACTTTTCAAAGGGAATTTAGCCTTAGAATATTGCTTAAAATAGCCTCATACTTGGTATTTAAACATCACTCAGTCATTATGCAGATCAGCACAGTGAAAGAGAGAATGTATTGGATGCTGTAGCTCGTCTTTCTCCGATTTAAAGCTTGGCTCACTACAAAGTCCTTGGGAGAAACCCTTGCACACAGATGTAGCTTTCGATAATACTAAAATCTGAGCAGTTTGTCCATAAGACAGGAACTGGTGCTAAATTATCAACAAGCCATATTAAAACAGACGGCAAATGCATACAAAAAGGTTACAATCATGCAAAACAAACAGTCCCTGACTTCGTACAATGTCAAGTATCAGGTGAGACAATTTATTACCATCACATGTTGTTAATGCATCTAAGCACATGGAAACTGAAAAATTTGCACATAGTGCACTGAGGTGTGTAATGTTTTAAGACGAACAAAAACATCAAGGTGCAGTCAGGAAACCCATGAGGTGGAGGTGGTCTAATCTGGATGGTGAATCAGTCCAATGAGATTAAACTCAGCAATGGCAACAGGAATGAGGGGAATCCTGCTATTCCTAAATGAAAGGATGCCAGCCTCACTACAAGGTGAACAGGAGAAGATGGATTTAGCCTTAGTTCCTACCTGCTTATATTCAATATTTTGTAGCTGGGTTTGCTGCATTTCAATCTCATTTTCTGCCACATTAATGACCCTCTCAAGTAGGGCTGGGTGATATGAAGAAAATCTAATATCACAATATATTTGGGTTATAATCGCGATACATGATATAGATTACGGTATTTTCAAATTACCTTGTGTATAAAATTGCATCGATACACTCATTCAAACTTTTGGTTTCAAATTTTTGTAATATTTTATTTTAACCAGCTCAAAGCTTTTCTCAAATAATGCTGCCAAATTATGTCTTTCCGTGTCGGTATTAGACCTTTAACAAAATCCCAGCAACCAAACAGGAAACAAAGCAAAAATACACAATACGAAATACTATGGAAAAAATAAACAAGGGCTCTTTTGTGCATCATAAAAAAAAAAAAAATGCAGAATGAAAAAAGAAATTGACCTCATGTTACAAAAACAAAAGTTGAAATGCTGTCCAAAAGTTAGAGGATATTAAAACTATTTGCATTGATCTTTATGTGAAAATTAAGAACGTTTAAAAAACCCCTGCAAAACCTCTGAACACATCACAGGTATTATAGTATCTAAAAAAACATTTAAATCATGTAATATATAGCGTCTGCGATTTCCCGCCATTTCTTCGTTTTACTCTCATATGGGAACCCTTTTTTTAAAGTACTAGGTCAACGTCATCAGCTTCACAGCCGATTTTATTTAATGTTTTAATTGGTGTGCGAGGCGACGATGACATGCAGGGTTTACAGCATTCTTCATTTTGCAGCAGATGAGCTTTTAGGTGGTGGAATAAATTAGTGGTACTGCTACCTTTTGCCTTACAAATTACTGCCTTTTGTTTGACGTCCTCGGCATGAAATCTAAACCGCTGTCGTATATTGCTCAGCTGAAATACAGGCTGTCGCCATATTTCTTTTGCTAGTTGCTGTAGTGTGCGTACTGTGCAGAAAATTATCCTATCTGGAGGAGGGGTTTATGATGCATTCAGATTGTTTGAGAAAAATGAAACTTAGTGAAATAGATGCAGATGGATTAATGTCATCATGCATATTTGTACTCAATGGTTGTGATAGTCATTTTAATTATTGTGTGTGGGGAAACTAGAGATATATCAAGCATATTCGACATTCGATGGAAGGTTTAACAGCCAATCAAAAAGATGTGGGTTTAAATTAAACTCTGATAAAAGTTTCTCTGCAGCGGAAAGCTGGAACGTATCACAAATTAACACATATTTGATCATATGGGACACCCAAATGCTCTGCATAGTGGTTAATTCAAAAGAAAGCTGCTTCCTCCACAGCCCTGCCTGTCTGATTGATATAAATCAAACAAGATTATTGCATTAATAAAAACATAGCTAAGCTACATATTTCAGTTGGAAGCAGTGGTTGGAATGTTGTAGTTTCTCATTAAAGTTTGCATTGTGCTTCTCTTATGACCCAAATATTGAAAGCAGCTCTTTTGAAGTTTTGATTTGCTTAATTCAAGATATCAAAATGATTTTTTATATATGTTGATGCTCCATGTTTGCTGCACTTCTCAAAAACTCCCCATTGTCCCCCAATGAGACCCAGAGTGCTGCAGCCGTTTTTTTTTACATGATAAACGACAATTAAAATAACGTTGATAATTAAAATAACGTTGAAGAATTTTTTAAACATGAGCAAATAAAACTAAAATATTTGCTAGGGGGGAAAAAAAATCAACTTCTGTCTGATCTATCCCATGCTGCCCCCCCTCCTACACCAGCTGGTGGTCTAAATTATGTCTCAGACTTTGATGGAAAAGGCACCAAGAATTGGCTGGAGAAAGAGGAGACGGTGAGATGAGTGGATAAATAGAAATGTCATTATTAACCTAATCAGAAAGAAACCTTTGCAACTTGGCCTGTAAAGCTAGATTTAAATGCGCTCTAACTTAACGTCTTTTACTGACATTCATTTCTCTTAAAGCTGTAGTTTCCTAACAAAGTCGCTCCACTCTCTCCGCCTCCTACCAATCACTGGGAAGGTTGGTGAATGACTGAGAGGGAGAGAAACAGAATGAACCTTTGGGGTTTTTGTAGAATTTTTAAATTAGAATAGATGTAGCAGGCTGACAAAGACATGAGAAATTGATTTGAAGCAAAACTGTTTTTTTTTTTTTTTAATTATGTTCATATGTTATCATATGTCCAGATCGAGGTGAAATATACTGTAAAACCTTTGTGTAAAAAAAAAAAAAAAACGGTTTTATCTAACTTGTAAACTGTTGATTTATTTTCCTTTAGTAGGACAAAATTAAGCTCTTTTAAAAATGCAGAACCTTGATTTGTTTTTGTTTTTTTCTCCATACATTTCATCATTGCTGTTCTGTTTACTTGGCTAATTAAAGTGACACGGTTCAGTTTCAGGCCTTCCTGACTCAGATCAACAGCTCCCTAGTGGACTCTAACATGCTGGTGCGCTGCATCGTCCTGTCGCTGGACCGCTTTGAGAGCCAGACTGAGGATATCAAAGGTAACACTGCATACCTTTATTGGACCAGATTTTATCTTTAGACCCTGGTTAAGATCTTTTTTAATGATCAGAATGCAGTAATAGTTTTACGATGATGTTTGTCCTCTCTGTTTCCCCTTCAGTAATGGAGGTACTGTCTGAATGCTGCCTGTTGTCCTACGTGGCCAGAGTTGAAAACAGGCTGTCCTTCCTCTTCCGACTTATCAGTATCATCAACGTACAAACACTGACACAGGTGGGGTTTTACTTTCACATCATATGTGCACTGATGTATAAATGTTTGTTGTTTTATCTTACATCCTCCTTGCAAATTGCTGCAACTGTCACAGCTGCTAAATTCCAGAAACTCGGTCAGGTCTCATCATCAATGCGCTGTCCAGCAAAATAGTCTTTGAAAATTTTTGATTTGTTTTCATACCAGTAAAAAGCCTAAGGGGTGGGATTTTCTTTGTAGATCAGTTTCTTTCGTTCATCTCAGTCTTCAAACATTTAGCTTCAGCAAGCGTCTTTCTTCAGAAATGCTGTCATCGAATGAGGCTTATTATTCAGGCTCATAAAGGAGCATCAAACCACCATCAGGGCGGATGATTGATGTGTGAAGTCTTGATTTGCTCGTGATCAAACAGGCAGATAACTTCACAATGCCTCCTTTAAGGTGTCAGTCTGAGGCAGCATAGATTTCTGCCTCAGAACAAGAGACTGGATTGCTTGGAAGAATATTGGTCTCTTATCTGTTTCTATATCCCATTATCTATATTTGAAAAAAATTTGGTATAGAATGAATAAAAATTATCTTTAATGTAAATCCTCAAAGTGAGGCATATTTTAATCCAGTCTTTGGAATTAAGAGACACAGTTTTGTTGACCTACTTCCCACTGAGTAACGTTATTGGAATTATTTTCCTCCCGTTTTGTTCTGCAGGAGAATGTGAGCTGTTTAAATACCAGTTTGGTGATCCTGTTGCTGGCCAGAAGAAAGGCTAAACTGCCCTTCTATCTCAACGCCCTGCGGGAGAAGGAGTACAATGAGAAATACCCCGGCTGCCTGCTGAACAACTTTCACAACCTGCTGCGCTTCTGGCAACTGCACTACCTCAATAAGGACAAAGACAGCACATGTCTGGAGAACGTAAGGCGCCGGCGCTCACATTCCCTCTGCACAGATAGATAAATGATTCCAGGGAAAAAACTCAGTCCAGCCTGGTTGGTTAAAACCCTGAAATTCATTACTGAGTGAGATGTGACACAGCCATACCCCCACTATAAAAAAAAAAATGCTTTGATGTTTAAGCTGCACAAAAAAAAAAAAACCTTCCTCGGTTTGCAGTGGAAACTCTGTTGAAATCTTTCCATTTTAAACAGATTAATGTGATACTCTTTAGTCATTAAGTGTTCATGTGGTTTTCAGCTGTTTGTCAAACTCCTCACTGCTTGTGCAATAACCAGTCTGAAAAGTAGGTTTAACTTTCTAGCCTTTACATCTCGAATGTTCCCCCAACAACCTTAGATTAACATGGGAAAGAAAATTAAAAGAACCCAAAATGAAGTTTAGGAAGGAATCAAAATTTCCAGCAGCTTCCTTCAGAAAAGCATCATTAGGGAGCGATGGGACAGAAAAGATCAGAACTATTGTTCTAAGATCGACAGTGTTTTCTAGAACTTTTCTGTTATGTTCATTTATAAATTTACTGTCGGTCGTAGAGCTGCTTTTAACAAATGTTATTTTCAAATTTTGTTTTAGACTTTTTCATGTCATTCAAAATATATATGTATAAAATCAGTTTTAAAACGGCTAATCATGAGAATTTGCTCAGTGATGCCGCTGATATCTGGGCGATTCTTTTATTTTAATCCCCAGAATCGATCCTCAAAGCTTGCCATAAATTACAACCCAGTTCAGTTTAAAGCATGGAAGTTTGTCTCTTTTTAACCAACGCTGTGCTCGGCTTGCGGTTCTTCAACTTTGCATGTGGCTAAATGAGTTGCTTTATTATTGAGCCTGAGAGAGAACATTCTTTTCTTAATGTCAGCTTTTCTTTTTGGGGCATTGTTTCTGGTGGCCTCTCATGTTTTACTTAATGTTCTAAAAATCTGGAGGGAAAACAGGATTTTCTCCTAAATGCAAAGATCACGGTAATTTACAAACAGACCTTGTTGACACTAATTGCCATTCCTGAACTGAATCAAAAGCTAATTTCATTCAGTCGAAAACTCTGTTTCTTTAAGGTGCATTAAAATGCCTAAGCACATGATCTACATTAGTATCGCGTTCATGTCTTATTTAACTCTCCCCCCACTGACGTCCTGGACTCTACGGTATCCTTTGTTCTTGGTTGCAGATATTTTCCATCAGTAGTTTGTACAGAACATCTTATCTCTAAAGATCTGCACCGACATATTGAGCTTCAGTCTAACCAACGGATGTCTCGCTGAAGTCCTTTTACAATGGTTACATTTTCAATTAGAAAAAAATTATATTTCTTAAATCAACCTCCCAAATTGCAGGATTTTTAAATGTTCATGTAGCTGCTACAGATTGTACAGGTGCTGGTCATAAAATTAGAATATCATGAAAAAGTAGATTGATTTCAGTAATTCCATTTAAAAAGTGAAACTTGTATATTATATTCATACATTACATACAAACTCATATATTTCAGATGTTTATTTTGTTTAATTTTGATGATTACAAATGACAACAAATGAAAATCTCAAATTCATCATATCAGAAAATTAGAATATTGTGAAAAGGTTCAAAATTGATGGCCCCTGGTGCCACACTCTAATCAGCTAATTAACTCAAACCACCTGCAAAAGCCTTTAAATGGTCTTTCAGTCTAGTTCTATAGGCTACACAATCATGGGGAAGACTGCTGACTTGACAGTTGTCCAAAAGACGACCATCGACACCTTGCACAAGGAGGGCAAGACACAAAAGGTCATCGCTAAAGAGGCTGGCTGTTCACAGAGCTCAGTGTCCAAGCACATTAATAGAGAGGCGAAGGGAAGGAAAAGATGTGGTCGAAAAAAGTGTACAAGCAAGAGAGATAACCGCACCCTGGAGAGGATTGTGAAACAAAACCCATTCAAAAATGTGGGGGAGATTCACAAAGAGTGGACTGCAGCTGGAGTGAGTGCTTCAAGAACCACCACACACAGACGTATGAAAGACATGGGTTTCTGCTGTCGCATTCCTTGTGTCAAGCCACTCTTGAACCACAGACAGCGTCAGAAGCGTCTTGCCTGGGCTAAAGAGAAACAGGACTGGACTGCTGGTGAGTGGTCCAAAGTCATGTTCTCTGATGAAAGTAAATTTTGCATTTCCTTTGGAAATCAAGGTCCCAGAGTCTGGAGGAAAAGAAGAGAGGCACTTCATCCACGTTGCTTGAAGTCCAGTGTAAAGTTTCCACAGTCAGTGATGGTTTGGGGTGCCATGTCATCTGCTGGTGTTGGTCCATTGTGTTTTCTGAGGTCCAGGGTCAACGCAGCCACATACCAGGAAGTTTTAGAGCACTTCATGCTTCCTGCAGCTGACCAACTTTTTGGAGATGCAGATTTCATTTTCCAACAGGACTTGGCACCTGCACACAGTGCCAAAGCTACCAGTACCTGGTTGAAGGACCATGGTATCCCTGTTCTTAATTGGCCAGCAAACTCTCCTGACCTTAACCCCATAGAAAATCTATGGGGTATTGTGAAGAAGAAGATGCAATACACCAGACCCAACAATTCAGAAGAGCTAAAAGCCACTATTAGAGCAACCTGGGCTATCATAACACCTGAGCAGTGCCACAGACTGATCGACTCCATGCCACGCCGCATTGCTGCAGTAATACAGGCCAAAGGAGGCCCAACTAAATACTGAGTGCTGTACATGCTCATACTTTTCATGTTCATACTTTTCAGTTGGCCAACATTTCTATAAATCCTTTGTTTTTATTGGTCTTCAGTAATATTCTAATTTTCTGATATGATGAATTTGAGATTTTCATTTGTTGTCATTTGTAATCATCAAAATTAAACAAAATAAATATCTGAAATATATGAGTTTGTATGTAATGTATGAATATAATATACAAGTTTCACTTTTTAAATGGAATTACTGAAATCAATCTACTTTTTCATGATATTCTAATTTTATGACCAGCACCTGTAGATCAGCAATAAGAATGATTAAGGAAAAAAAAGACATATTTAGAAAGATTTTACGAATAGATGTTTTTTAGTTTTTCCCATTTAACTCTGCTGTGCAGAAATTAAACACCAAAGTTGAGCTTGAGTTGACGGTGATTTCAGAGCTTAGAGGCAATTTTAACCACTATTAGAAAAATAACTGACCGCCTTGCATAATATTTACACCTCTTGTCCTGATGCCACAGTTTGAGAAGGTATTTTATTCTTTTTAGATGTTTGACCTGTGGACCTTTGAATGTTATTGCTGCCCCCTAGTGGCAGAAAATTAGCAGTGGCTGTTTGAGAGCAACATTGTTCGTCCTAAAAATATGTGTTGCAAACCTGTTTCTCCTCCCTAAGTAAGGGCATAAGAGAAATAATTTGTGCTTTCTCCCCTCAGAGTTCCTGTATCCCATTCAGCTACTGGAAGGAGACGGTGTCGGTGCTTCTGGGCTCAGACAGAACTTCTCCCTGTTCCATAGTGAGTTACATTGATGAGCCCTACATGGATCTGGACAGGGACTTGCTGGAAGATTGACCGGCAGCCTGAACTCTTGGAGGAGGAAGGAAGCATGGGCGTCTGAAGCCGAAGAAAACTCTGGGCTGATCCTTCTGGGTGTTTCTGTGGCTACGTTCAGGATTTAAAAACTAGCTGTCTGTACCTTCGCATGGAGGCTTTCATCACACTTGTGAGCAGATATGGAGTCTGGCTCACTGACATCTTCTCACAAAGTTTAAATGCTTTTTATTTGGTTTTTCTCTTTTTTTTTTCTTTGAAATGAGAACTAAAACTTGTAGACCCCGTCCAGATGGTCTAACAGACGATGAGACATTGAAAAAAAAAAAGACTCCTGCATTGGTGGTTTGCTTTATGTGAAATTCAGATAGAGCCTTTTATATAGCCTATACAGAAATCTATGGAAAAGTATCAGAACAAATTATAACACAAAGAAGAAACAGTTTCTTTTCACTTGGACCTGATTTTCGGTTGGCACAGATTGGCACACATGTGCAGGATGGTGCCGTGTCACAGGCTGCCAGCCTCACTCTCGCACTACTTTATCACTACTGTTGATTTCTTTGACACCACTGCCTCACCTAAGGGGAAACCGATGGTAATGTTGGAGAACTTTCACCTGTTCTGTTTTACCACCTGGCTCTTGTTGGTTGGTGCTTTTTGGTTCCTGCTCTTATATCTTAAAGGATTCCTCTTGCATTAGGAAACTTATATTTGTTTTTCCAGGTTATTTTTTTATTCATTTTCTCAGATCAATGGCTTTTAGCTCTGGTTAAACTGTAGAAATTAAACGTTGCACAGGTTCATTCTTTTTATCGTTAAATATATATAAAAATATAAACTCATTTGTTGATTAAAAATGTTTTCATTCTCTAAAAGAAATTGTTTCCATGTTGTGAGAGCTGCTTAATAAAGAGAATAAACTATGCAGGTGCTAGTGATCAAAGAAGACTCTTTGTTCCCAAACCTTCATCTGCATCCAAAGGAAAAACTCTAACCTTTACCCGTTTATTCCAGTACAGAAGCACAGCTTGATGTTGGGTTCCTGACTGCTGCCATGTTTGACGTGTACACATTTACTCCAGCCTGACTTAACCTTAATACTGATTCCTTCAATACTTCTAATCAGGCATCAGGATCCATCCTATAGTGTCCAACATTTCTGTCCCTGTTTAAGAACAGCTTCCCTATCTCCTAATGCTGCCACCACTGTGCTTTAGCGTAGGACTAATGCTTTTGATCTCCCATGACCAAAGTATCTTGTAGAGGTTTTCTCTACATGATGTAAAACAGGAAGACTGCAGTGGGCTTCCTGTTCCCATCGGTCATAAAGGTTGATTGAACAAGGCTGAAGGAGATGTCAGGATATGTCTTTATAATCCCACTTCAAATGTCTGCATGATTTTCTCCTGCATGCTTTGATCCTTTTGTCATGTTTTTTTTTTCTTCTAATCTCCAAAGTTCTTCACAGAACGGCTGGATTCATGCTAACAAATTACTCGTAGATCGGCTGGCTAACAATGACATCGATTGGTTGCAGCTGACTCAATTTTCCTCAGCATCAGAGTAAAGATGGTTATGTATATTCTGACTTTTTAGGTTGTCGTATGTAAAGATGAATAAAAACACCTTTTCCTTTTATCTATAACAACTTTAAAAATGACTGTAACAGACTTGGTTAAGAAAAGTCAGGCTGTTTGACTCAAACTCTAACAAGAAAATACATCTCCAGCTTCAATGAGTTGCTTCGATTAAGAGGTCGTTAAATCAAGTTGATCCAACTTAAGTTTTTTAGTAAGTTGCAGAGTTAATTCAACTAAGTTGGGCAAATTTGATTAAATTCCTTGTTGCCAAGCAATTTAAATTGGAGCTGCATTTTTCTGCAACGTGTTGTTCCCGAGGTTGAACATTGAGGTGCTACAGAAAGCAACAAGTACAGGATGTAATAAAATGTTAACATGGAAAATGTTGAAATTTCATTTTCATCCGTTTGCGTTTTAGCCACACCTGGAACCAAAGTTAACCTCTTATCCTCTGGCCCCACCTTTAATGGTCATATCAAAGTTTTTGACACAAAATAAAAAGTCAACTTGAGAATCTTGCTGAACAATTTCCAACAAAAAAACAAAGTCATGATTTTTAATCATAAAATCTTTATTTGGGCGTGTCTGCAGTGATGAAAGGTTTGGTGTTCCGCTTTGCATCCCTCGGCCAACCATGATGCACCGGCTGGATATTAGCAGCGGTGTCCACAGCACCATATGAGACATCACATGAGAAGCCTGTGTGAGTTCATTTTCAGCAGAGGATCACATCCAGTCTCGTCTAAATTTAGTTCCTATAAGCCTGCTGGCTAATTTTAAAAGATTCCTCCAAAGGTCATACGCTTCCATTCTGTAGCATCGTGAGCCGCTTTGTAGACCAATTTATCCTCATCAGCCCCGTCTTTGATAAGAATAAACCGCATTAGATGAACACACCTTAGAGGTGAACTATTCTGTTTGGTTAGAAAATTGATCTAAAAATCACCACACTTGGCGCCATGGTCGTCATCTCATAGTTTTCCAGTTTACTCCATAATGAAGCCGTGGTTCCTTGTAATGGATCTTCCTGGTTTCTATGGAACACTACTGTGGATGTCCTGGTTCTCTGTTGGAAGCTGAGGGGTGGGACGATGAAGATTTTGGTTAATTTTTTCAAGATAGCTGAAGGTAAACTGAGGTTATATTTAGAATATTAGCTGAAGCTTACAGTCAGGCTATTTTTTCAAGGCTTTGGCCTCTGTTGGAATCACAGAGATGACATCTTAGAAAGCCTTTCCTCTTAGTCTCATGGTGAATCCGTCCCCCATCTCCTCCCTCAGCTTCAGGAACAATTCACACGTAGCCTCACCAAGAAGCTCTAGAAGCTTTTACAGTCAGTCCATCTCAAAGGCCAGAAAATCTCCATCATTTCATTAACCTGCAGGGTCTCCAGTTTTTGCTCAAGCCTGCTGAGGTAAAACATCCAGTAAGTCAAAATGATTTAAATTTGCAAACATGGGATATACAGTCTACGTACCCGTCCGAGTCTTATAGTAGCCATCTGCTCCTCATCCTCTGCGGGGGTCTGCTGCTTCCTACTGAGGAGTTGGTGTTGATTAGCAGCTTCTTCTCCAGCTATTTCCACCCGACCCTGACCTCCAGCTTTCCGCCCCCTTTCTCCTCCAGAGAGATTAGCTCTTGCTCAGATGCAGCAGTGCCCAACAGGCGTTTTACTTTTAAGTTCTTTGAAGACGCCGCCGACGGTCCAAAAAGGGTTGCTTTGTGGGACATTTCTGGAAATAAAGAAATTAAAGCAATTAATGGAGATTTTTGATTAAAGCTATTCTTCTTCAAGCACCAGATACTATGAGGAATTAAAAAAACAAAGTGTTTACTAGTTTTAAACGCAGCTCAAAATTAAAAATGACTTTTGCAAAGAAGAAAACACATTTTTCTAAAACTATTGGAATATTTGTTCCTGTATAATTTGGACGTTTAATTCCAGAAAGCTTAATTTTCTATAATTCTCTATAGTGTTGATGAAAATAAGGGTAAAATGATGCATTTGAAAGGACCTTTTCCAGGTTAAACTGATAATACATGGTAGTAAATCAGTGGGAACCGTAAAAAGCAAGTACATGGTCATATTATGTTTTTTTTTTTCAGCTTGGTTTTTTCAATTTGATTAAAGCCCAAATCCTTATACTAAGTCGAATTGATTTGGAAAGTCAACAGGCCAGGGATTAGATTTAAAATTTGTCAGCTTAAAAAATCTGGAGAACAATTTAATGATCAAAGGAAATAACAGATTTAACTTTCCGAACCATATGACAGCTCTCAATGTGTGATGCTGTCCAAAATTAATAATTTTAAACTGGTGATATGATTATTTAGTAAACATATTTTATTAAATAAATGTCCTGCTTAATTAAATTGAACGTGCACCAAAAATTTGTGAATTAAACTAAGAAATCAGATTTGTCTGATTGAGGATTTTCTCTAAATTGATGCAAAGCAGGAACTTAGATGCCTTTTTTTTTTTTTAGTAATTTGATATAGAAGAGAGGATAATCAGTTGGAACTGTAGGGACACTATAACAGAAGGGGTCAATTTAAAAACCTTGGTGGCAGCATCATGCTGTGGGTTTTTTCACTGATGGTTGTTGGGTTGGATCACACCAAATGGGTGAGATAATGGGTTGAAACGTGGACCCCTGGACTGACGCTCATTCTAAGTTAAACACATGCTAACATTGAGCATATAGAATCATCCCAGGTAGGATTAGACAGACTGAGCTGAAAAGCCGCATAATCGAGCATAAACTATCGGCACTAAGCTGAAGGGTGGTCAAAAATCCAGTCTGAATTATGAAATGACTTCTCTGCAGAGTTTTGATGGGCATTTATCCACTTGGAGGTTAGGTGTGGGTAAATATAGTCTTCCCTTTTAGACAGTTTGCATTTTTTCTGAAACGCAGTGCAGCTTTATCTCGCATGGGACAGTTCAAAAAGGCCCAAATGAACAACTTTCCTGCCAGGGATGAGTTGGTATAAACTTCTGACTGGTATTGTAACTAAAAACAGGCCTCTCTGTGAAAACAGCGTCATAATATCCAACCAGGCTGTTAAAGGAACTTTATTTTTAGTTTAAAAAGATGCCTGCAAGTAGGTCAGAGACTTTCATCCGGGACTTCCCCGTTTATTTATTGCCTTCTCCTTGGTGCCCGATTTTTGGCTGCAACCCGCTTCTTCATATCTAATCCTACAAATGAAGTCATACGCCCATAGCTGGTTTTATGTGAAGACAAACAGAGTTCGTGGATTGATTTGATCCCAGCTGGAAGGACTCTCACAGCCCTAAATAGGAACCTAGAGCATATTGCTCAAATCTTCCTATTGAGGGCTGGAGAGGCTGAGGTGAGTAAAGGAGGGGGAGCTGATTACATTTCTAACATGGCTCAGCATTGGGAGCCCCTCAAAGGTGAGAGTTTGTGGTTATTTAGGAACCAAAGCTCTCTGTCGGACAGGCGGCTTTAATCCTCCGTCACCCACCACTCATCCCATCAATGTGCCCGCTCAGAAGTACAGGCGCTGTGGACAAAAGGGGCCCGGGGCCATTGGGCATCCAGGGAGGGGTTAGTATTTTTAGGGAGGGCCCCGAGCAGCTGCTGCTTGACACATGTCAGCACCTGGCTCTGAGGACACCATCCGCATTGTCTGAATTAAGAAAGAGCAGAGAATGGACGAGACCTGTGAGAGTAACATGGGCGAATGGGAGCAGGGTTCTTATCAACAACGGGGCCCACACACATGCCGGGTGACCATACAAGGACAAGCACACGCCTCACACACGCCAATGACATTGCCCTTGCATGCCAGTCATACTTTCAGCAGGAGAGTGAACGCAAAGGTGTAGAGTATCACTGGCGGCTGAGCGCGGCGTTATCAGAGAAGCAACTGCAGCGTGAGGCCGGCCTCGGAGCGGCAGGTAAAGGACTTCCCTGAAGTGTTAGGAACATTAACATCAAGACCGTTTACAACAAAGGGATGGAAAACATGAATCTTTAGCATTGACATCCTGCAGCTCCTCTTTATGAAGAGGAAAACATAAAAGGAAAGGAAGGAGGAAAAAAACTGAATAAATTCTGAATTACTTTAATGAACATGCAAAGATTTATTCAGTTATTTTGTGAATGTCTGCTGGGTTAAATCAATGAATTTCTCAGGAATATACTGAACTGATATTTTTTAAAACCCAAAGATGCTAATAAAATGGTACTGCAACAATCAGAAATTCTAATTTAATTAATTATTAACACTAATTAAGGAATATTTACTAGTATTTTATGCTGATGATTTACTTTCTAAACTTAGATATTTATTGAGCAAATTTTCTACTTAAATTAAACATGCATCAGTCATCGTATCAAATAATAAGAAATCAGATATTTCCTTAATACATTAAAAGAGAAGTTTGTGTCTGAATTGATGCAAAGCCAGAACTTTAATGGCTTTTAAATTGTATCAATAATTTGATAATGGCTGAGATATATTCCTCCAAAAAAGTGAAGTAAATTGTGTTAATCTTTAAATTTTTCTGACTGATTAAAAACTGTAAAGTCCATAAATGGGCTGCATGTTCTCCCCTTACTGTTTTTAGTTTTTATTTTTTTTAAACAAAATATCAGAAACGGTTAAAGCTGGGAGTCAAAGGCAATGGAAATCGGCATTATCTACAAAATGTCTAATCGGTGCATCTCTACATTTAAAGCTTTGTTGTCAGATGACTTCTAGTTCGCAGTTTACTGAAAGCTCATTTCGTCTCACCTCTCAAATTTCCCCTGCCTGTGCTTCCAGTCAGTACGGCTGTTAACGACATCCAGGGAGGCTGCTTAGATCTCTGATCATCTCAGTCTCGTTATTCTGCAGAGAAAAAGTGTCACAAATGAACAAAAATAAATCCAACTATATGAAGTAAAAAACAAACGCCCAATAAGTCATTACATTCAAACTGTTGTTTCGGAACTCCCTGAAGTTGAGGAGAGCGAAGCCAGCACAGACTTAAAGTGATGTTCATGTGAACATTGCCCTAAACATCACTGCAAGTCTTAACTGCCTCCGGTCCGACTGATCGATGATGATCATGAATTCCCCAAGAAATCCAAAATACTGACAGACTCAAAAATCATCCCAAACACTGAAGCACAATCAGAGTGAGCCTCACCTTGTCAAAGTAAAAATAAAGATGCCTTCTTCGCTGATCTGCTTGGTTAAAGCCTGAAAAAGGAGAAATTAAATTTAAAACTGTTTTCTTTAAGCCTTTAGAAAGAAAGCACACATGATCAATTTTTTCTTGAAAAAACAACTTATAACTAATACATTTTTGCAAGAAAAAAATAATCTAGCAGCTCTAAACCAATAATTTTTTTTCTTTGATGGACACTTTTTGTACTTTTTACAAAAATTATGTTCCACATGATGCACAGCTGCTCTAAAGAGCAGAGGCTTTGATACAGATCCGATAACTGATCAGAGAGACAAAGTCTATCATGATTATAGATTATAATATATATTATTGACCAATACATTAATAAACAGGTGTTCATCCTGCAGACCCACATAAAGAATAAAATTAACTTGAAATGTAATGCAAAAGAGATAATAATCAGACAAATTTTACTGTAGACGTTTTCTTCTCTCTTACTAATTAGGACCATATATTATGACATATTAGATCAAAAAGATCGTTTAAAATCCAGAAAAACTAGACATGAAAAAATTTGCTCTGACTATATTCTCACGTTTGCTTTCATTATTATGCATCATCTCTTATAAATAAATACAAATTAAAAATACCATACCATGTTAAAATGGTTTCTCTATAGTAACTTTTTATAAAGATTATAATTTCTAAATAAATTAACTCACAGTGCAGATCAGCAGGGAGTATAGTTCAGGTCCGACAGAAATGTGGTGTTTCTCCTTCAACAGTTCACCTGCTCCACAAGCCAGTCTCCCTCATCCTCCCTAAGAAGAGAGAAGTTCTTGAAATCTAGTAAGAAAAAGATGAGTTCTGTGCAAATGAATGCTAATTGTACTTTAGTCTGTTTCCTCGATTTCATTTTGTGTTGGAATGTGAAAACCCAAACTGTTATAGTAGTATTGATCTAGAGGTGTATTCTCTGTATATTTGTTGGAGCTTATAATGTTTTCAAATATCTATGTGTGTATAAACTTTTAGGAAACGGATAGAAGAGCACATTTCTGCTTTCCTTATTTTGCATAATAACCTTGCTATTTCCTCTGTTACGTTAATGGTCTTGTTCTCCAAAGTGCTCTATGTAAAATCATTGTAATATTTCAATACACATTAATCAAGTGCATTTTTTTTTCTAATGTTGTACATTTTCGCTTACAGTACATAGCTTTGTGTGAATCATTAACACCTGATTTTCCCACCGAGAAACAATAAGGGTCTATTCTATTTGATTTTGCCAGTTATTTGCAATAATCTCCTCTTTGAGTCATAATATGTGTGAAATTGAAAAGTTTATTTTAAATAATGAGATTCATAAAGACAAGCTTTAATTTGAATGCAATAAAAAGGAACATTTTGAAAGGACAGACTTTTAAAAGCTCTGTGTTATGGGAAGTATCTTGAAAAATGAAAGGTTGAAGAAAGCAAAAAACAAATGTTAGGAAAAATGAAAACGTGGAGTCACATCAAACTGTTTTTAAATAAAGGAAACAATGTGATAGAAGATGACCCCACTGGAGGGATGAGTATTTCTAAAGGATAAAATTACATATTGAAAACCATTAAAAAAAATTAATTGCAGGAGATGGTGAGCAACCCTGAGCAACCATTTCTTTTTGGCAGATTTTTTTTTCTTTGGTTGCTTCTTTGAAATGTAAAAAACCATAGTGCATATAAGATGCTCCATGCTCCTGTTCTTTTATTCAGTTGTTTGTATCCAGTCTTGGCAGTTTAGTCAACATTATGGTGGGTCGGATTGTCTTGCAGTGTCAGGATGAATTTACTACACAAAAAAGTTTATAGAACAAGATAAACCTCTAGTTAACCAACTGACCTAATATAACTATTGTCCCAAAATGCCAAATGTGGTTCAGACATCAGAAAACAGACGACATAACCAGACCAAGAAGCAAATATTCACTCCATCGGTGCACATTTAATCTAATAACTGCACCCTCTTGCACATCTACATGCTCTGTCTGTATGTTTGCATTAAATTGGTGTTTTTTACTTACTGAACAGAAAAATTGTTTTAGAGCAGTGGCTCCTCGTATCCTTTGGATCCACAGTCACAACGGAAGAGATCAGAGGAGCTCTAAGAAGAAACATGACATCTGATTATTGTGATACGTGACCCGAAACCGTTCTGCAGCCTGACATGAGTCCAGCTCACATCTGATCTTTGTCATTTAATCCTGCTTCTGAAGGGAATATGGAAACACTGAGGAAGGGATAACAGTGACACTCACAGGGATCGTCCAGGGTCCTCAGCTCAGATGAGGCTGTGTCAGAATGGCCCTGTCTGTGGCAGAGCTCTCCACTGCGGGAAAGAATACAGAATAAAGGAGGATGAGGAAATACTGATGGATAAACGCAGCACAATGGACATTTACCCACTGAGTTCAATTAGTTTTAGCTTTAATGTCCCCTGGTTCTTCAGGGTTCCAGCCTTAATTTTTTTAAACCTAAACGCACAGCAGAGGGCTTTGCTTTCAAATAAGATGATTTTTGAAACAGCAATTGTAAAATAAGTTTATCTGGAAGTTTTAAGTTAGTTTTTCAATTTCTTAATTTTAAATTACATATAAATAGAATAAAAGGTTATATGATGTATAAAGTGATTCATTTATATAAACTTAACATATACATAAAACGTGGACAACATAATCTGCACATATATTGTTTTTTTTTTTTTTTTTTATTAATTGCAATTCTTTTTTACAATAATATCCATTGCATCCGTTTTAGGGATTTTAATTTGAAGAACTCTGATATAAATATTAAATATCTCATTTCAATCTTTGGTAGCACTATTCAGACCAAAACGATAGAGTTCAACACGTATAAAACTACTAACTAGGCCCAATAACTAGTAGTCTCCCTTTGAGGTTTACCGTGAGAGATACGCCTTCAGAAGATCCACTTGGATCCACTCCCCCAAACTTCTCCCACGTGGAGGCCAAGTGGAGAAGCCTAGAGCCTGACACGGGTCGTGGAAATCCTTTGCTGAGAAAACAGCTCTTAGTGTTCAGGCCTTGGACAGCTGGAGCGGCTTTGGAAAGGGCCGGGCAGCTTGTGCGCACTGAGCGCATGCCCTCCATCACCAACTGAAATGGTGCCATAAAAACGTAAAACCAAAACAAAAACGCCAACTGTTATTTTAAAGGATCAAACATGATTCTGAATTGTTGAACTGATCATAAAACAAACAAACAAAAACAAGAAAACCCGCGGCCTGTCTTCGCGCAAAGCAAAACGCGTAAAACTGGAAGCGTCCAAACAACGCCAAGACGCAGCGCGCTCAGTGACACCTCCTTCAGATGTGTCCCGCTTTATAGTCTGCTCCTCAAGGTCACGATCAGTGGACATCTGTCCCTCATTAGCATATGCCACCTCCTCCGCAGCCCATTGGTGCGGAGCCTCTGTCTCAATTGACACAAAAGGAAAGCTACGTTTTTGTCATAGCGCTAACCCCAAGGCGGCTATTTTTGTATCCCAGCTATTCCATGTACTATACACACTGGGAGGGAGTGGGAGAGAGCTGGGAATTGACCTGAGAGCATCTCAGTAAGAGAGGATTTATCTCCCCCCCCCCCACTTTAACCAGGCATCATTCTCATTTTAGACAATGATCTGGATGAGAAACCTCTGGAAGTTTCATCCAGGAGGCTTAGAGCCCCTGAAATGCTGCAGCTCCTAAACAAACATGAGGTTTGACTTTGATGCTGTGGGCCTGCTGCCCTCTGAGTTACGCTCCAGCAGGTCTGTGATGTCAGGAGCTGCTATTGTGTGGCTGCAACCTTAGAAGAGATTATTTCAGGAGCTGTGTGGCATTAAACATGTTACTATAAATACACTGTGTTTTATTAATAGAGGGAAACATGGCACGAGGCTCCTGAATCACTGCAAGGTAAAATCAATACCATAAAACACCCATTTTAAAACCATCAGCAGGGGAATTATTAATGTATTCTATTCACATTTGTTCTACTTATCAGCAAACCAAAGAGAGACATTCTGCTGCTTCAGCAGCAGTTAGTGTAACACATGGATCTGAGGAAATTTAACTTCAACAGAGACACATGTAACATTTTCGGCCATAGTTGCTGTAAATGTGTGTATCCAGTTTTTGCTCTGACCTTCAGCGTCGGGTGGGGGGGTGGGGGGGAGGTTGGTGCCTGCTGTGGGAGCCGGGTGAGAGAGTGGGAGGGAAGAGGACCAGAGTTTCTCAGAATAGACAAAGCCAGAGTCCAGCATTCCTGATAGGGAGACTGGTTCTGATGCGCGTACATGCAAACTGGGCCAGAACCAGTCTGGACTCCTCACAAACACCATAAATGCTCTCAAAAGCATCGCTCCCACTTCAACTTTAACTTTTTGCTACATTAAGACTTCATACCTCTGTGTATTTTACAAGGATTTATTGTGGCAGACAAACATAAAGGAGGATAATTGTAGAGCAGGATGAAAACAACACTTTTTTTTCTTGATTACAAGAAAATTACTGGAAGGTTTGGTGTTGGTTTGTGTTGGATTCCACTTACCGTAGTTGAACCACCTTATGTTCTTGGTTTGTCTCTACAAGCTTTAGATCTATAGAGACTACCATGTAGAGCTGAGAGCATCTATGAACATCAGTTTAATGTGCTACTACAGGTTTTCATTAGAGTTAAAGTAAATAGATTGTTCTAAAAAGTGATCCTAAACCTCATATGATACTTTTCACTGGGAAGATTTAGATTTCAATTTATTTCTATTCCACAAGAAATTTATTTCTGAAATATAAATTAAACAAATATTAAAACATGCACTAAAAGTGAAAATGATGTAAAATAATTCAGGTTTTTATTTACAGTTGATGAAAAAATGACCAATGGAAAACTATTCATACCCCCTTAAAAAACGAATGGACAAAAAAAAAAAAAAAAAAAAAAATCCACTTCATCAATCAATATTATCTTATCATTTCTAACCAACTTTCTGCTCTTTTTTCGTTGGTACTTTGACGATGAGCTCCAGGTCTACGAAGTTTAAAGACCTCTTTGATTTAGGGTTTTTCTCTCCCTTTGCAAAATAATTTTTGTCTGATTTAAAGACTCTGACTCAGTGACTTCTAAAGGTTTACAGATTTTACTTGGTGTCAAAATAAATAAGTCAGAATAAATTAGATAAACGCACACCTAAATCTGCCAGGAGTCGGAATAATTTTGACCTGAACTGTAGTTGCCTTTTTTTCCATACCAGTCTTCATTAAAGGCCAGATTTGTGGAGATTATAAATAATAGTTAATCTCTGCAGCTCTTCTAGAATCACCATAGATTTCTGAGCCTTTTCTCTGAATAACGATCTTCTTGTCCCGCATGGATTGTCTTTGTATGATGAAAGTCTTATCAAACTCTCACTAATTTCATTTCAGATGATAAATTGATCAGTCTGTAAGATATTAGTTTTTATTATTTTAAAGGCTAACCCTGCTGAGAACGTCTTCCACATCTTTCTCCTTACTGTCCTGTTGTTCTTTGGTTTTCCTGTTTCTGTTAATTTACTTTTTAAGTCAAAAGCACACCACACTTTTCCGATTAATTTTTAAATAAATAAAATAAAGCCTGTATTTTTCTTCATCCTTTTAGTGCTAATACTCTGCTCCACGCTGTTCTGTAATAAAAAGCATGGATGTTTGTGTTTCATCACAAACCCTAGTTTAACAAACACTTTAGCAGAGGGTGGTCATCCTGTTTGACGCTGTTATCTGTTGCCGTGGCAGCCAGAGAGGTGTTGCCGTGATGGCTGCAACTTTTCTTGGGCATCAGTTAGATAGAGCGGGCCGGGATCTATTCTGGGACAAGGGTCTCTTCAGGGAGGCAGAGGCTGGTTTGTGTACCGTGTCACTTGTTGCTTAAACGACTGGCATGCTGATAACACGCAAGGAGGAGACCAGTCCCAAACTCCCCAGAGCTGCTGGCTTTAAATAAGTCCACAACCACAACCCCCCCCCCCCCCCCCCCATAAATACAGACACCCACAGAAAGAGAAGGATGAGTGCATGCAATGCTTGCATCGTCCCCCCCTGCACATCTCTCTGCACTGCTGCAGCTCCCTGCAACAGCTGACCTCTCTGAGCAGCAGCTCCCTTTACTGCTCCTAGAAATAATTTCTGTTCCCTGTTCTACATTACATCTAACTGTTGTATACGGCCGTTTTACCTTAACAAGCGATGTTTTACAAGCAGATATGACCTGCAGGCCTCAGAATCTCTGGGCTGAGGCATCAGGATTGGTGCGCCGACATTTTGCGGATGAAGAGGTGAGCTGACATTTTGAGCCTCATGCAGGAGGTCAGCCACAGCTGTTTAAGGTCGCAATCTACCAAGAGCATTTATTATCATATAAGCTGAAGGATTGGCATCAATTTAGGATATGAGTTTTAAAATTCAAGCTGTTTGTGTCCATCTAAAAACCAAGAATTATTGTGAAATGTATAATCAATATAACTGATCTTCATTTTTCCCAACATATTTCTTACATTTTGTTATTAATTTGACTTATATTTTATGGTAAAAGAATAACCATGAACCCAGTCAGGGTCCTGTTTTGAACCAGATAGAGAAGATAAAAAATGAATCAATTAATTTACCATGAAATATAAGTAAATTTTATAACTGGTCAGAAATGATAATGTTGGTTATAGAGAAGGATTTAAAAAATTTTCTACATGAGAGATTTTGTTTAAATGTAAATAAAACAAATTTAATTTCTAGGAAGGTTGTTAATTGAATGGGATAGAATAAGAATAATAGAATAGAATAAAAAAGTGGATTTTAATTATCTGCCACAGAAAATTCTCATTAACAATAGGGCTTATCTCCAAAGAAGAAGAACTATAGTGGTGTGACAGTGGCAAAAAACTTGAAGAACACTAGTTAATTTGGAAAGCCAAAATGTAAAATAAAAAAATAAAAAATAGCTGTATAGCATAAGGAAAGTTATTAATAGAAAGGACATATTCAGGGGAAGAAAACTGACACAAGTCAAAATATTTAAAAAGGAAAATAGAAGTTAAATTAACCAAAAACCAAATAACAACAAACACATTTAAAACATACACAAACATGTATCCACACAGGCCAAAATATTTACAAAGAGAAAAAGGAATAAGCTATTCTTAATGAAAAAAAAAATAATGGAGAAATAAATCGGGGGGGGAATATATATATGTATATATGTATATATATATATATATATATATATATATATATATATATATATATATATATATATATATATATATATACACTCACCGGCCACTTTATTAGGTACCCCATGCTAGTAACGGGTTGGACCCCCTTTTGCCTTTAGAACTGGCTCAATTCTTCGTGGCATAGATTCAACAAGGTGCTGGAAGCATTCCTCAGGGAGTTTGGTCCATATTGACATGATGGCATCACACAGTTGCTGCAGATTTGTCGGCTGCACATCCATGATGCGAATCTCCCGTTCCACCACATCCCAAAGATGCTCTATTGGATTGAGATCTGGTGACTGTGGAGGCCATTTGAGTACAGTGAACTCATCAGAGATGGGAAGTAACGAAGTACAAATACTTCGTTACTGTACTCAAGTAGATTTTTCTGATATTTTTACTTTACTTTACTACTTATTTTTATGGCGACTTTTTACTTCTACTCCTTACATTTTTACACAAATATCTGTACTTTCTACTCCTTACATTTTAAAAAATTGGCTCGTTACTTTAGTTTTGAATCATTTTAATGGAGTTACCGTTATTATTTTTCACGTCACTGTGAAAACGGAGCCGTTTTCCCCCTCTGTTCCCAAAGTGTAGCCGCTGTCTATCACGCACAGCGTCACATCCTTCACTACATTTCCCAGCATGCACCACAAACCGGCCATCATGGCGGCGGCAGTTCCAAACAATTCACCAGGTAATTTACACTAGTTCCGAAATTACAACGTCACCTTTCATTCAACACTTTACTTACTCACCAGCGTAGCAAACTCTGAAGGTACCCACTGCGACAGCTTTAATATACATTCCGTAGTCGGTAATAAAACTTCCCAGTCAAATTACACATTCTCTTCCCTTAGTCCGTCAGCATACTGGTCCGTGTGGAAACACGTACCGCATCGGAGCCAGTCTCTTATCCATTGTCCCAGGGCATTGAAAAAGACTATTAGGGGGCAGGGGTGTTAAGTGGGATTTCAATGAATGTAATAATTGTTTGCATGGTAATAAGTAGGTAAATTGGTAATGTTAGCATGGTTAAATTATTTCATTAATATGTATGTTTTTGTATGAATG